GGCCTTAGACCAGGTTCGAATGGCCTATCACTCCCAGTACCCTGTCACAGTGGGACGGTGACACTTTCATGCATGAAACCGAGCGGTCACTGATCTCTAAGGCAACGGCGGAGTGGTGCATTCCCGCCTGGCCTTCTTCTGCTCAGTGCTCTGCAGGCCAGGAGGGCAGGCAGGGTCCCGCTGAGGACTAATCAGTCATCAGGCCACGGGGACACAGACCACACCCTGGGGCATGCAATCCCTGCTCAGAGAATAAAAAAACAGCCGCAGTCACAATCGTTTGAGAATCTTAAATGGGTCATCGCCTTTAACCTTAGCACAGAGCTTGGCCACACAGCACAGAGAGGTGCACACCCCCGTACTTCCTGTAGGGGGCTCCAATGAGTCAGGAATTGGCATTTTTGCATGCTATGAGATGAACCAATCCTGGGCTAAATGTCACTTGCACAGAGGCTGGGGTGGGGGCCGGCGGATGATACTGGGAACACTGGACATTGGTGGTGGAGAATGAGCACTGGTGGAGGGATGGGTACTCAATCACTGTATGACTGAAACGTAATCATGAAAGTTCATAAGTCTAACTGTATCTCACGGTGATTCATTAAAAAACTTTTTTAAAATAAAGCATGGTGGCACTGTCCTCCCGTTTGTTCATCAATTTGCTCGAGCGGGCCCAGTAAAGTCTCCATTGTGAGACTTGTTGTTACTGTCTTTGGCATATCGAATACAACACGGGGAGCTAGCCAGGTCTGCCGTGCAGGCAGGATACTCTCGGTAGCTTGCCGGGCTCTCCGAGAGGGACAGAGAAATTGAACCCGGGTCGGCTGTGTGCAAGGCAAACGCCCTACCCACTGTGCTATCGCTCCAGCCCTTAAAGATAAATAAACTTATGGGGATATGGTGCTGCCAGCAGGCCAATCTGTACCTGTGAGGCGAGTGCATCAGCAGCCTGATGGTGCCTTCAGACTTCCAGATATCCCAAAATTGCTTCTGTGCCTTTGTCCAGACCCTAAAAACTTGGGGCAAAGCTTACCAAGAAAGTAAACGGCCAAAAGTTAGGTATGTCGGAGACACACCCACAAACCTCATCCAGATCAGCTATATAATTGGAGGCAAGGCATCTCTGGCTCCTGATGGAACTGCTTAACAGCCATGATGCCAAAGACTAACAGACAAATCTTGGAACCCAACGGCTTTTGTCAGAGATGCATCCAGTCCTTGCAATGGGTTACTGGCACAGGATCATCACAGGGGGGAAAAGGGTGTTGTCCCTCTACCTGCTCCCCCTTGGCAGCTCAGTGGCCACCATCTTCCAGAGGCCATTGGACAGTCAGGTTTGGGGTCACAGTGACAAGACACGCAGGGCCTCACGGGATGGGGTAGAGCCAGCCCTTTCCTACCCGCCCCAACAAGGCCACGAGTAACTGCCCACGAACGGCCTCTCTGGCTCCTGATCAAGCTGCTTAACAGCCATGATCCCAGAGACTCAGAAACAAATCTCAGAACCCAGTAGCTTTGGCAGAAATGCGTCCGGTCCCCACAGTAGGTTACTGATGCCAGGCCACCCCAGATGGGATAGGTTTCATGCCTTGGCCTATTCCCCCTGGCGACTCGGTGGCCACCATCCTCCAGAGGCCATTGGAAAGTCAGGTTTGGGCCTACAGCATTGAGACCCATGGGGCCTCCTGGGATGGGGTTGGAGCCAACCCTTTTGTCTCCACCCCAATGAGACCCCGAGTCACCGCCCACAAACGGCCTCTCTGGCTACTGATCAAGCTGCTTAACGGCCATGATCCAAGAGACTCAGGAACAAATCTCAGAACCCACCAGGTTTGGGCAGAAATCCCTCCAGATTTAATTGCTAAAATTTTGGAATTCCAAAATCAGGTGGCCACTACTGCGGCCACATGACATCATATGTTATTCATAACCAGCAATAGAAAACAAATTGTCTGCGGTTGCCTTTTTGGCAGATCTGAGTGTTGGGGTAAAATACCAAATGATAATGGTGAACCTGGTGTTGAAATACTGAATGTAATCAAAGTAGAGAGAGAGTATAACATGGAAATCACCTGCCCCACAGGTAGGGGGAGGGTGTGGGATAGGGGATATACTGGAGATTTTGGTGGTGGAGAATGGGCACTGGTGAAGGGACGGGTGTTTCATTGTATGTATGACCAAGACTTAAACCCGAGAGCTTTGTAACTGCTCTCACGGTGATTCAATAAATAAAATTATAAAAAAGGAAAAAAAGAAAAGGTAAGGTGGAGTTCATGCCCAATTCAATCAGCCTAATCAATGGCTGAATAAATAGGAATACTCCTACATAAATAATTAATTTTTTAAAATGTCAGGTGCATTAGTGCATCCCAAATGTCAGTAGGAAAGCTTCTGGTATGGAAAAGCCCAGAATCTGAACTACAACCCATATCCATTGCCTGGCTATTTGTTTTGTTTTGTTTTGTTTTCATTTTGGGGGGTGTTTTGGAAAGGGGGCAGTAGAACACACCCAGTGGTGTTCAGGGCTGATTCCTAGCTCTGCTCTCAGGGATCACTCCTAGTAGGCTCAGAGGACCATATGGGATGCCGGGGATTGAACCTGGGTCCACCACGTGCAAGGCAAGCGTCCTACCCACTGTACCTGTCTTTCGCTCGGGCCCCTGAGACCATTTTAAACTGGAGAGTTTTCCAAGCGAGGGGGGGGGGGGGGCACCACAGGCCTTGCAGGATCACAAATCTCACAACCAGGCTTTTGAATTCCAGAAAGGACCTCAGATACTCGCTGTGGGATTCAATATACTCAACTGACTTCTCTTTGGTGTTTTTAATTCATCCTCTAATAAGCAGGCTGCAAATTCAAATTGGAAACTCAATCCTGAAAGTAAGAAAGTGGCCTGGTGTGAGCCTGAAGAGGTAACACAGCAGGGAGGGTACTTGTCTTGCAAGTGGCCAACCTGGGGTCAGTCCCTGGGATCCCATATGGTCCTCCAAGCCTTGCCCTAGGAGTGGTCCCTGAGTGCAGAGCCAGGGGTAAGCCCTGAGCATAACCAGATGTGGCCCAAACTCATACCTGCCCCCGTATATATTATTTAATCCCTAAAAAACTTCACTGACATAATTTCTGCATTGGGGGAGAGAGTCCTGAGCTATGCCCGTGTTATCCAGGTTATCCATGTTATTCCTGTGTCCGAATAACAGGATGGTCGTGATCGTGATTCCTGTGTCTGAGCTCAGATTCACATCCCTGGAGAGTCTGGGGGAGGAGCCTCTCTGTGGTACCGGAGAATGAACAGGTTTGGGCACTCACAAGGAAGCATCTTACCCACTATTCTCTCTGGTCCTACACAGCTTGTTTGTTTTTACACCTCTACAACTTTCAGAAAGTCATTGCCTGCCTGGCTCTTCAAGCCCATCTTCTCTCTTACACAGTATCTCGCTTTGTTGGTTTGCACCCTGGAGAAGCCTGTGTTCTCTCCTGAACACATTTCCTCTCTTTCTCTCCTCTCGCATCTGTCAGTTTTGATGTTGGTGATTTTGAGGCCACAGCCGGTGGTGTTCAGGGCTCACTCCTGGCTCTGCACTCAGGAATCACTCCTGGCAGCTGCTCAGGGGACCATACGGGATGTCGGGGATCGAACCTGGCTCGGCCACGAACAAGGCAAACCCCCAGGTACCTGCCAAACTATCGCTCCAGCCCTCCTCATAGATTTTTCTAAGCAAGTTTGGTTCAATAAAAACTACCTTGCTTATAAACCATATAAAATAATTCACACACTTTCACACTTGAAATTTATGAGTCAGATTATGCAGAATTCCCAGGAACACATCTCTAAGTAGAAGGCCTTGATTTATGAGCTAAAAAACAGTGTAAAGTTCTATGCCATACCCCTTTATGTCAATATACTTCATTAACTAATAATCTATACCCTCTATAATAAATGGATTATTTGCCAATCGAAAAAAAAAACTACCTTGTTTTCTTAAAAGAAAATTAAAAACTCCATTCTCTCTGTTAAAAGGTTGCAGTTTAGAGGGTCAAGACATAGCTGAGAGGGGCTGGAGCAATAGCACAGTGGGTAGGGCATTTGCCTTGCACACGGCCGACCTGGGTTCAATTCCCAGCATCCCATATGGTCCCCTGAGCACTGCCAGGAGTAACTCCTGAGTGCAGAGCCAGAAGTAACCCCTGTGCATCGCTGGGTGCGACCCAAAAAGAAAAAAAAAAAACATAGCTGAGACCCACCGAAGCACAATCTGGCTGGTTGAAGGCCCCGACTCTGACTCCCAGGAGTGTATTATCACCCCAGCACTGTTGGGGTTCCTGCTGGTCCCCAAACCCATTCTCCCAAGCACCCATGGCAATGAACCCATCAGACAGGCACAGGTCAAGCCAAGCATTGGCGGCGCAGTCCCGGGAGGGTGAGGGGGGCCGAGAATTCCTTGGAAGGACCCCCCCCCCCCCCCCCCCCGCCAATCATACACACAGAGAGAGGTTTGCTGTTTATTAAGAAAGCTCACAGAAAAGGCAAAGAAGAGCCTGGTCAGATGACTGAGGAACAGCTGATGATGGAACACATCCCTACTCCAGAGAGATGAGCAGCAAAATGTTCCCGCCCCAAACTCAGCGGGAGGCAGGCCAGCACCGGCATCTGGACTAATGCTCACCCACCTTCCCTCACAAACCATCCTCCCAGGAAATAATCGCACGGGGGAAGGGGGAGGGTGGGCTCGAAGCTCTGCAAATGTTCCTTTATGCAACCGTCATGATTTCCTATTTCCCAAATGTGTTGTCATGGCTCAAAGGCATGGAAGTTTGGTCAAATCCACATGGCTGGCATCTGTGTTCCCCTAATGAAGGAGAAAACATCCTCCGAACAGCGCAACACACCGACGTTTGCAAGCAAAAATTCACAGCCCACGAACAACCAACCGGCTGGCGACCCCCGCCGAAAGGAGAAGAGAAGCACACGCCTTACCGTTTGGGGGTGTTCGTGCCTTACCGTTTGGGGTGTTCTTTTTCAAGTTGTCCAGGAATTCCTCCAGCAGCTGGGACTGGTTTGGCGGGGGCAGCAGGCTCTTCTGGTCCCCCAAGAAGAGGTCCGTGTCTGACCACGAGCCACTGAGGGTCCCCTGGGGGGCGGGGGGCCGGGCCAGGAGCGTCAGCCCCACGCTCTTCTCGGAGAACAGGGCCTCCATCTGCCGCACGTCCAGCCCCACCACGGCTTCCCCGTTCAGGGTCATGATTTCACTCCCCTTCCTCACCCCTGCAAATGAGGAAGCACACACAAGCGTTGGTCGGAGGAGAGCCGGCTGCAAACACAAACCAGACAGCGCCCGCCCGCCTGCCCGGGAACGCCCTGCCGTCTTCAAAGGAGGTCCCAGAGCTAGGGTCCTCGGGTCCTCACTGAGGGCAAAGGGTCCTTGCAGAGAGGACTGCCGGGAGGAGAAACCGCCAAGAGTCCCTCAAAGGGTCCCGCATCCCTCTGATGTGAAGGAGACCATTTCACTGCTGCCTGGTCAGCTGTCAGCCCTCCTGTTCGCTTTTTCCAGCCAGCAGCCCGCGGGCTGGAGGATTCTCCGCGTACATATTTACTGTCCCAACACACACACTGTCCACACGCTGGCCACGGTCCCTGAGTGGAGGCACTCTGGGAGGCAGGGGGCTCGGACCCACAGCCAGCATGCTCAGGGCTCACTCCTGGCTCTGAAACTCAAGTCTCAGTCCTGCCTGAGCTCGGGGATCCTCGGGGATGCCGGGATCAACTAGGAATGGCCTATGCAAGGCCAGTGTCCGACCCGGGCTACTCTCTCTCTCTGTCTCTCTCTCTTTCTTTCCTCTTCTTTCTCTCCCTCCCTCCTTCTATCTCTCTCTGTCTCTCTATCTCTGTCTCTCACTCTCTCTCCCCCTGTTCTCTCTCTCCCTCCTTCCTTTCCTCCCTCCCTCTCTCTATCTCTATCTCTGTCTCTCTGTCTCTTTCTGTTTCTGCCTCTCTCTGTCTGTGTCTCTCTCCCACTCTCTCTCCTCCTCTTCTCTCTCTCCCTCCCTCCTACCCTCCCTCCCTCTCTCTCTCTGTCTCTCTGTGTCTGTCTCTGCCTCTCCCTCTGTCTCTCTCTGTCTCTGTCTCTCTCTCCCACTCTCTCCTCCTCTTCCCTATCTCCCTCCCACCTTCCCTCCTTCCCTCTCTCTCTCTGTGTCTCTGTATCTCTCTCTGTCTCTCTGTCTCTGTCTCTCTCTCTCTCCCTCCCCCTCTGCAGAGGCCATTCCCCCCCCCCCCCCCCCACACACACACACACTCCAACTATTCAATTCACTTTCTCTAAGACTCTAGCGCAACTCTGCTGCCAGCTCTGGAGGAAGGAACGGTGCCCAGGCAGACTGCGTGGAGAACAGACACTCTGTGCCACACGGACCTTCGCCGTATGCCAGGCCGTCAGGGAGAACGTCGCTGATAAAGATCCGGCTGAGATGCTGGTGCTCGTCCACCTGCGCTGTCACTGCGAACCCTGCGGAGGACACAGAGAAAAGTCACCACACTCTCAGCCCGGCAGGGAAAAGGGGAACCACCAGCTCCAACGGCTACACAGTGTGCAACATTGTTTCAAAGTTGGGGTGAGATTCCCCAACCCCCGCCCCCCACCCCAGGCCCTCCAGGAAGAGCCAAGGGGGAAGTGACCCAGCTCAACTTCCCGGAGGAAGAAATATGTTTTAATGTCACTGACGAGGCAGGCGGGCAGACGTGGAGGAGAGCACTGAACAGGAGGGAGGGAAGGGGTCCCTCCCGAGGAAGCGGGCTGTGAAACGCAGAAGAGTATTAAGGATGAATCTCAACCAGTCACAGAGCTGCAAAACACGGGGCCCCGCTTTTATTCAAAAGGACCTGCCATGGGGACCCAAGCGAGAATCCAGCGGGTAGGGTGTTTGCTCCGCACAAGGCCAACCTGGGTTCGATCCCCCGAGCCCCACCAGGAGTGATTCCTTAGTGCAGAGCCAGGAGGAACCCTGAGCATCACTAGCTGTGGCCCCCAAACAAAACAAACAAACAAAACGTGCCTGTCCCGGAGGCAGGCTGCTGGGTGGGAGGGAAACCAGGAGCACTGGTGGAGGAAGTGGACATGGGCGGACAGGAGTGGGCACCGGCGGAGAGACGGGGGATGGAACACTGTTTGCTGACAATCACTAATAACTTGGGCTGGAGTGATAGCACAGCGGTAGGGCGTTTGCCTTGCACGCAGCCAACATGGCTGAGCCGAGTTCGATTCCTCCGCCCCTCTCGGAGAGCCCGGCAAGCTATCGAGAGTATCTCGCCCGCGCGGCAAAGCCTGGCAAGCTACCTGTGATGTATTTGATATGCCAAACACAGTAATAAGTCTCACAATGTTACTGGGCCCGCTAGAGCAAATCGATGAACAACGGGAGGACCGTGACAGTGACACTAATAACTTTATAATTCATGGTGACTAAATTAAAACTTTTTAAATGTTAAAAAAAAAAAAAGAAAGCAAAAAACAAACAAACAAAAAAGCCCATTCAATGTGGCCAAAATATAAAGTAGGGTATTTATGTGTCACAAGAAAGAAGGAACGGGGCGACAGTACAGCTGGGAGGGCATTTGCCTTGCAAGCGCCGGACCTGGGTTCGATCCCCGACATCCCATATGGTCTTGGAGCACTGTCAGGAGTAACCCTTGAGCATCACCACGTGTGACCAAAATAGAAAGAAAGAAAGAAAGAAAGAAAGGAAGGAAGGAAGAGAGAAAGAGAGAGAGAGAGAGAAAGAAAGAAAGAAAGAAAGAAAGAAAGAAAGAAAGAAAGAAAGAAAGAAAGAACTCCTGGGCAGGAGATGCTCACCGGGTAGGAGCCTGCTGCTGTGGGTTCAATCCCTGGGTTCAATCCCTGCTGCCACCTGGTCCCCTAGCCCCGCCAAGAGCAACCCCAAGCCCTGAGCCACAAATAACCCCTGAGCACCATAGGGCAGAACCCCAAAACTTAGAATAAAAAAGAGAATTATTATTATTATTATTTTGCTTTTAGGGTCATACCCAGCAAGGCTCAGGGTTTCCTCCTGGCTCTGCACTCGGGAATTATTCCTGGCAATGATTGGGGGACCCTATGGGATGCTGGGAATCGAACCTGGGTCGGCTGCGTGCAAGGTAAACTCCCTCCCCGCTGTGCTATTGCTCCGGCCCCCAGTGGAATTCTGACAGCTGCTACAATGCATGACTCTGTCCCACGCGAAGTTAGCCTGTGAGCAGAGCGACCGTGGCACCGTTCGCCTTACCCGTGGGGCGGAGACACAGAACGGGCAGGGGGAGGCGCTGGGTGTGCAGGGACCCTCGCTCCAGTCCAAGCAGTGGCACAGCATGTGGCCCCCAAGCACCACCAGGAGGGACCCCCCCCCCCCCCAGGCACAGAGCCCAGGGCAGTCCCGGGGAAGTCCTGAGCACTGCAGGGTAGGGCCCAACCTGCCTCTCCCCGAGGAAAACAAAGGGAAGGAGAAGAAAGCAAGCTGGGGAGGGGAGGGCTGGCCACCGCCATCAGATAGGCACAGAGCTCCTGTGCTGCATTGGGGAGGAGGAAGTGCTCATGGCCGCCCATCGAGATACCGAGATGCTTCTCAGCCCTCCCAGGTGCTTTTGTGACCATTTCAATCTCTTTCTGAATCTTTCAGTTGTGACCAGTGAAATGACAGCGACAGGGGCTGGAGCCATAGCACAGCGGGGAGGGAGTTTGCCTTGCATGTAGCTGAGCGGGGTTCGATTCCCAGCATCCCATAGGGTCCCCCAAGCACTGCCAGGAGTAATTCCTGAGTGCATTAGGCAGGGGTAACCCCTATGCATCGCCGGGTGTGACCCAAAACGCAAAATAAACAAACAAACAAACAAATTGAAGCGACAGCAACAGCTGGGAAACAGCCCCATATGGGGGAGGCATGTAAGGAAGGTGACCCCAGATGGTCACAGTTCCACAACCAGATGTGGTACTTCCAACCCCTGGGCGGGACTCCCCGCTCCGCTCAGACAGGGCCCCTCGCCCTCCACTCTGACCCCTTACGATCTGCTCCCATAACCCGGGACCCCTGCACACACCCTCCCCACTGCGGCTCAGGCAGCAGCCGGCACCCACCAACCGGGTCTCTGCATGAGTCCTCACCCTGAAAACCAGGATGCGGCAGCAAGGAGGCCAACACCAGCGTCTCCGGTGAGAGCCAGCTACAAATGCAAACCCAACAGTGCCGGGAATGCCCTGCCCTCTTCCAAGGAGGTCCCCGAGCTAGGGTCCTCGGGTCCCTGCTGATGGCAAAAGGCCCCCCAGCTCCTCACAGAGGTGACTGCCGGGAAGGAAGGTGACGGCTAGGTGACGTGTCTTCACCCCAACAGAAGGACAGATGCCGGGGCTGTCAGGGAAAGCTGAGCTCAGGCTACCGGGGGCAGAGACAAGACCCTACAGCGAAGCCTGGGGTGGGGTGGGGGCAGCACCAGATCAGGCTGTGTGCATCATGCAGCAAGACATGCCCCAGCCTCTGCGGGCCCCCTCTGTGACCCCAGTCACCGCCCCTCCACACCGCCAGCATGCCTGGCCTGTCCACCACTGCCCCCAGGGAATTCCCGCCCACCCCTCCTCCCCCGTCTCTCGTAGTCACCTCAGTTCTGCTGAGTCAAGTCACTGGGCACTGTCCTCTCTCTACTGCATCTCTGTTCTGAAGAGAGGCTGCACTCGGCAGAGTCGGGGTCACCCCTTGGGGAACTTGGGGGTGGGGGTGGGGGGACTCATGGTGCCAGGGAGAGACCCAGGGTCCTGAACGTGCCAGGCTGGCCATCTGCCACTTGAGCCACTTCCTCCCCGGGGCCCCTGACAAGGAACTTTGAACAAAGTAAACAACGGGCACAATTTGCTTGTGCCATCTTAAGGCAAGGAATGATGTCGGTGCAGTTAACAGGGAACTGCAATCTTTCTCTGAAGTAGAATTTCACAGTAGTATTTCAAGGAAGAGTCTTAGGTGTCATCACTTCCCCGCTGCTCTCCTATGGTGACAGACCCAAAAGAAGAGAGACACACAGCCAGGACCATAAGCTACAAGGAGCTTAAAACCAAACGTGACTCCAGACCAGGAGAAAGGCAAGAACCAAAAAGGACCGGGTCACCAGGGTGGCAGAGTCCAGGTTGAGGACACGTGGGGTTTACATAGAGAGGTGGGTTGGGGGGAGCGGGGTGGTGCGTGCAGGGAGCACTCCAGGGGGTGACAGAGAGCTCAGAGCAAAGATGGAGGAGAATAGGTCTCTAGGGAATGAGTCAGCATGGCACTGTGTTATTAACCCCTGTGTTATTCCTGTCACCATCCTACCGAACGTCCCATCCATTTGGTCTACGGTTTCCTTCCCAGGGCTCAGGCGTTTCCCCCTAATATAATTTAAACCTGCCGAGATAAAGGGGAACGAAGGACCGGAAAGGAAGTTCAGATACTACTCAGCATTTCGGAAAATGCACAGGGAGGCGGTGAAGCATTTTAAGTTCAGAGAAGAGAGTGGGAGGCCAGCCCGGCTAGGAGAGCGAGGGGCGGACGCCTACCGAAGTCAGACACGCCCCCGGTCTTGGTGAGCCGCACGTCGTGCAAGTTCAAGGGGAAGACTTCGGTGTCATCCGGCACCTGCAAAGCATCAAAGAGCACCAAATCAGGGGCTTGCATGGCAGGATGTCTCAGAACGGGATTTTGACAGTTTCAAAACGAGAAGCCGGGGTCCGAGCGACAGCACAGCGGGCAGGGCGCTTGCCTTGCACGTGGCCAACTCAGGTTCAATTGTAAACCCCATACGGGGGTCTGCTGAGCACGGTCAGGAGTGATCCCTGAGTGCAGGGCCCTGAGCCTCGCCCGGTGTGGCCCCCAAACCAAATGAGCCCCTCCAAAGTAGAAGGAGCATTTAAATGGGATCCGGTCCCTGCCCTCCCCAGCCCCACACCAGACCCTCCTTCCCTTTAACCCAGCTTGCCTGTCCGTGAGCGTAGTCATCGGGGGCGGGAACGCTGCACTCAGCATTTTCATCCACTGATTTTCGAAGCTGTGGGCCATGGTGGCTGGGCTCCAGCTGTCTTGTCTGATAAGACAAAGACGGTGATTCAGGTTTGAACGGTTCTTTCGACATCCTTCGTTGGCTTATTGAAAACGCAGTGTCGGTCAGAGAGATATCCCATATGCAGTCCGCTATGTTTTTTTGTTTGTTTGCTTGATTTTTGCTTTTTGGGTCACATCTGGTGATGCACAGGGGTTACTCCTGGCTCCGCACTCAAGAATTACTCCTGGCAGTGCTCGGGGAACCATATGGGATGCTGGGAATCGAACCCGGGTCAGCCGCGTGCAAGTTAAACGCCCTATCCCTGTTGACCACGTGCAAGGCAAATGCCCTCCCTGCTGTACTATGGCTCCAGCCCGTCATCTGCTAAGTTTAAACCTAAATATAGATGCTCAGATATTGCTGTGAACAAACGAGGCTTGAGAGACGGTTCGAGGGGCAGGACCACAGGTGTGCAGGCAGATGCCTGGGCTCAATCTTTGGCACCACTGGGCACAAACCCTCTACCCTCAAGCACTGAACCAGGAGGGTATAGCCTGGCAGTAAAATAACAGTATACAAAAAAAAAACTTTCCTGTCTCCTCTGGGCCTAGTGCAGGTTCCTGTTCGATTCTCAGCCCCACACGGTGTCCTAACCCTGTCAAGTGTGACCTTGGGTGCCCGAGCGACAGTATGGTGGGTAGGGTGCTAGCTGTGTACACAGGTGACCTGAGTTCGATGCCCCATTTCTCATGGCTTCCCAAGTGCCCCCTGGAGTGATTCCTGAGTGCAGAGCCAGGAGGAACCCCTGAGCATCGCCAGTGTGGCCCCAAAACCAAACAAAACCCCAAAAAAAAGTGACCCCGGGTCCTGCCAGGTGTTGCCCATGAAACAAAGCACGTAAATGTCAAGAAAATAAGGGACAAGTAAGTTTCTAAGAAGGTTTGCCCTAAATGATACCATTTATCTCTAAGCAAGTGATGAGTTTTTAAAGGCCGTGATGGAACTTACCAACCATCTCAGTAAATGCTTTTTATCTTTTTTCCCCAATATTGGGGATGGAACACAGATGTGTAAGGCAAAGGAGTCTGTAAACTTAATAATAACCTCAGAGTGTACAGAATTCAGAAGCGGGAATTTCCTACTCCCAATTTTCAAAAAGAAAATGTATACATTTGTCTGTCTCTGTCTTTGTCTCTCCCCCCACCACCACCCTTTTATTTATTTATTTATTTAGGCTTTTTTTGCGTCACACCCAGCGATGCACAGGGGTTACTCGTGGCTTTGCACTCAGGAGTTACCCCTGGTGGTGCTCAGGGGACCATATGGGATGCTGGGAATCGAACCGGGTCGGCCGCGTGCAAGGCAAACCCCCTACCCGCTGTGCTATTGCTCCAGGCCCTCTCTCTCTTTTAACAGTGAATGAATATCTCAGTCTCCATCCTAACCAGAGCTGACTGACTGACTTCTACACCCTGCATGACTTAGAAAAATATCGACCGAGTAACTGGCCTCAATGACACCAAACAACAAACAGCATGTGTCCATGCAAGGCAAACGCCCTACCCACTATATTATTGCTCCGGCCCCTGGAATTGAATTCTTAATATGAATCCATTAAAATCTTAATATAAACGGTTTGTATAAATTTCGGGTGCTCTAAGACGCCTGCCAAAGTGACAAAGGGGAAGTAAAATGATTATTCGCAGCTGTCAAAGTACATGGTTCAAGAGTCACTGTCACCAGGTGGAGTTTGACAGAACCATCCCGGCAAGCTTAGACCGAGGAAGCTCTATGGCACCCTCTGGTGGTCGGAATCATTAAATGCTCCGTCGCTGCCTCTACTGCATTGCTTTCAAAAGGCTCCCTTAGGACTCCCCCTTGGTTTTGGGGCCATACCCGGTAGTTCTTTTTTATATACCATGAGGTACAGCTGTAAATTTACAAATTTTTCTGCTTGGGTTTCGATTATACAATGATCAAATACCCATCCCTCCACCAGTACCCATTTTCCACCACTATGGATCCAAGTATCCCTCCTACTCCCTGTCTCCCCATCTCACCCTGCCTCTGTGGCAGGGCATTCCCCTTTGTTCTCTCTCTCCTTTTGGGTATTGTGGTCTGCAGAAGAGGCATTGAGTGGCAATCATGTTCAGTCCATAGTCTACTTTCAACATGCATCTCCCCTCCTGGGAGGATCCTCCAAACACCCTTTATTTGGTGCTCCCTTCTCTATCTGAACTGCCCTTTCCTCTAGGATACCCGGCTGGCCTCTAAGTTATGGAGTAATCCTCCTGGTGCTGATCTCAGCTATTCTTGGGTATTAATCTCTTACTTTGTTACTTTATATCCCCCAGATGAATGCAATCTTTCTATGTCTGTCCTTTTCTTTCTGACTCATTTCGCTTAGCATGATACTTTCCATGTGGTACCACTTGTATGTAAATTTCATGACTTCATCTTTTCTAACAGCTACATAGTACTCCATTGTGTAGATGTACCAAAGTTTCTTTAAGAAATTCTTTGAGAATCGCCCATACTGTTTTCCAAAAGTGCTGAACCAGTCAGCATTCCCACCAACAGTGAAGGAGTGTCCCTTTCTCGCCACATCCGTGCCAGCATCGGTTGCTTTTGTTCTTTTGGATGTGGGCCAGTCTCTGAGGTGTGAGATTGTGGTTTTGATCTGCATCTCCCTGATGATTAATGATGTAGAGCATTTTCTCATGTGCTTTTTTGCCATTTGGATTTCTTCTTTGAGAAAGTTTCTGTTCATTTCATTGCCCCATAGTTCTTGGGAATCACTCCTGGTTGACTCAAGGAACCATTCGGGAGGCCGGGGATCATTCCAGGCCAGCTGGGTGCAAGGCAAATGCCTTCCCTGCAGTACTATCTCTCTAGTCCCAGAGAAACTCCTTGTTTAGAAGCAAAACCTGGAGCCAGAGCAATAGCACGGTGGGGAGGGCACCTGCCTCGCACACAGCAGACCTGGGTTGGATCCCCGGCACACCCAGGTCTCCGGAGCACGAAGAGTGATCCCTGAGCACAGAGCCAGGGGTAAGCCCTGAGTTCTACCAGGGATGCCAAATGCTAACAGAAGGAGGAGGAGGAGGAGGAGGAGGAGGAGGAGGAGGAAGGGGAGGAGCAGGAAGAGGAGGAAAAAGAGGAAGAGGAAGAGGAAGAGGAAGAAGAAGAAGAAGAAGAAGAAGAAGAAGAAGAAGAAGAAGAAGAAGAGGAGGAGGAGGAGGAGGAGGAGAAGAAAAAGAAGAAGAAGCAGCAAGCCTTGTGTAAATAATAAATAAAACCATCATAACAGAAGGAAAACCTTGTTTAAATAACAAACAAAACAACCTGTCCTCCCATTTCCATGAGGCAGACAGAGAACAGGGGGCCTGGAAACCAATCTGGTTTTTGGTTTTGTTTGGGGGGGGGGGGGGGGTGGTCACAACTGGCGATGCTCAGGGGTTGCTCCTGGCTCTGTACTCACTCTGCACTCAGGAATTACTCCTGGCAGGTGCTCAGATAACTATATGGGATGCCAAGGATAGAACCCAGGTCAGCCCCATGCAAAGCAGACGCCCTACCTGCTGTGCTATTATTTCTCTGGCCCTTGAAACCATTCTTGATATAAAATCACACAGAAATAAGTCCAGTGAAAGTTCCGGGGCCGGAAGAAGTTCAAGAGGCAGCACGGCCAGCCTGCTCCCCTGCCAGTGCTCAGTGGGGAAGGGACTTACCCACAGTCCACGGTCCCTGAGTCCACCTGGAGTGACCCCTGAGCACAGAACAGAACCAGGAGGAAGCTCCAAGCATCACTGGGCATGACCCACAAAGCCGAAAGAAAAAAGAAAAAAAATAAAGACCCCTGACACATCAAACAGAAGCAAGCTGGTGACAAGTGCTGGTACGTGTGACCATGTGTCCTCACGCTGGCGGGGAGATCTCCCTGCAGGCCTGTGTGGGTTCAGGCGATCCCAGGGATCAACACCCACGGAGACCTCCACGCACACGCGTGATGCACGGATGGCGCAGCCCCGGGCCATTACCTTGCACGCCAAGGTGAGGATATCTTCCGCCCGGTGCTCCGGCTTCATCATCAGGGTCACCCCTTGGGTGTCCTGAAAGGCAGCGTCAGTGGGGACGTCCCACGGGTTGTCCTGGGGAATGCTGTCACCCGTGGGGCTGTAGATCTGCAGAAAGTCATCCACCTGTGTTTGGACGCGGAGAGAGAATGAAAACGAGCCTGAGGCGCAGCCAACGGGGGGAGGCGCTTTGGAAATCCCCCCTCCCCCACCTCCCGCCTACTTCCTTTGGGTCCTGCTTTGGAGCCCTCTGCTTCTGCATGCAGATGGGGCTTTTCACAGCCCGGGTCCGAGGCAAGCGGGCCCTGCCCTCATCCTTCAACCCCCGTGGCACTGAGGCCCGGGAGGGCGGGGAGGAAGGACACTAAGAGAGTCCCAGGCTGGTGACTCAGCCGCAGTGCTCTGAGTGTCTGAGACTGGTCAGCCACAGACCACGGCAGTGGACAAAGAACTCTGCGAGTTCCTCAGTGCCGGCACGTAGGCCCCAGGACGGACACATCCATTCCGTGGCCCACATCCATTCATGGCGACATGAAGTTCACCCTGCTACCCCCTCCCCTAACTTTCCGCACACCTTCCATGTCTGACCCTTCCTTGATTTCTCCCCAACAACCCCTGTTTCTTGAGCCATGGCTTTAAGACCCCCCTTCCCCAAAGCTGACCTTTATTCATGCAAAGTGAAGTGAGTCAGAAAAAGATGGTCAGACATAGAAGAACTGCATTCGTTTGTGGATTATGAAATAACATAATAGGAAACTGGCACCCAAGGAGAGTAGACACAAGGGCCGGGAAGGTTGCCCCATAGTTGGAAGCCTGTCTCATGAGCTGGGGGAGAAGGTGGCTGGGATAGAGAAGGGATCTTCTCTAAGACAACGATGGTCGGAGGGATGGCTCGGGATGGGAGATGGGTGCTGAAAGTAGATAAAGGATCAAACATGATAACGTCTCAGTATCTGTACTGCAAATCATAAGGCCCAAAAGTAGAGAGAGAAAGAGAGAGAGAGAGAGAGAGAGAGAGAGAGAGAGAGAGAGAGAGAAAGAGAGAGAGAGAGAGGCTGGTGGGGAGGGGTAGTTGGGGAGTGATGGGAAGGAATCTGGGGACACTGGTGCTTAGAGATGTGCACTGGTGGAGGGATGCGTGTTGGAACACTGACTGAAACCTAATACGAACAGCTTTGTAAGGGTCTTATCTCACGTTGATTCAATAGCACTGTCCTCCCATTGTTCATCGATTTGCTTGGGCAGGCACCAGTAACATCTCACAACAAATTGTGAGACTTGTTGTTACTGTTTTTGGCATATCGAATACGTCACGGGGAGCTTGCCAGGCTTTGCCACGTGGGTGAGATACTCTCGGTAGCTTGCCAGGCTCTCTGAGAGGGGCAGAGGAATCGAACTCAGGTCGGCAATGTTGGCTGCATGCAAGGCAAATGCCCTACCCGCTGTGCTATTGCTCCAGCCCACGGTGATTCAATAACAAAATAAAATAAAAATAGAATAGAATAAATACACAAGAAGGCTGGGGGACAGTTCAAGGGTTAAAGTACTCGCTGTGCACATGGCCAGCCCTGGTTCAAATCCCCAGCATCATATATGGAGCCCCGGGCACCACTGACTCCCAAGCTCAGAGCCCGGTGGTAACCCCAGCCCCTCCCCCCCCCCCCCCCCAAGCCACAAGGCATTCGCTTGGCCTAGCTAGGAGAAGAGGGGACGAACGCAGACCCATGACTGAGCGAAAGGGCAGGTGTGGGGATGCCGGGGAGGAGGCTGGTCCCCGGGGCGCCCCTCACCCATCCACCTGTCCAACTCCGCTGGGGGGATGCTCTTGGGAAGAGGAGCACAGCCTTCTGCAGAAAGTTGCTGTTAAACGGAAGGGGGAGAGCCGCCGCCGCCTGCCGCCAGCACACAAGCAGCAGGGAGAGCCCCATCCGAGGCCTTGGGGCGCCCACTCTCTGGGGTCCGCCCTCCTGGGGGCACCCGCTGACCCCAAGCCCTGCATCAGCGGGAACCAGCAAGCGGGCGGGGCGCACGGCCGCACAGCGCCGCATTCTGCTCAACGACCAGTAGAGGCCGCTGTGGAGTCAGAAAGCACAGGCAGGGCCCGGGGCGGCTGCAAAGTCTAAGGGCGCTTGAGCACAGCAGGCATGGGACAGCGACAAGGGACAGTCTGCCCGCTGTGCCCTCGTCCGGGAGCGGCTGTTGTGGTGCTCCAGAGGCCACTGGAAAAAGCCATGACAGGCTGAATCCAAGCATGCCACGGATCACCACGCAGGGAGCCCCCTCCCAGTCCTCTGTGTGATAAATGACAAGAAAAGTCATTTTCAGCAGCTCAGAAAAGTTCTAGAGAGAGGCTGGAACGACAGCGCAGCGGGTAGGGTGTTGGCCTTGCACGTGGCCGACCCGGGTTCGATTCCCAGCATACCCATATGGTCCCCTGAGCACATCCAGGAGTTAATTCCTGAGTGCAGAGCCAGGTGTGACCCAAAAGCAAAAAAAAAAAAAAAAAAAGAAAAGAAAATTCTAGAGAGCCAAGGACATGGTGGGGAGGGCATTTGTCTTCACACGGCCTTCCATGCTCAATCCCCACCACTGCAGATGGGCCCTCGAGCAACGCCGGGAGTGATTTCTGAGTGCAGAGCCAAGAGGAACCCCTGAGCACCCCTGTGTGTGGCCCCCAAATAAAAAATATTAAAAATGGAAAACGGGCCAGAGTGACGGTACAGTGGATAGGGTGCTTGCCTTGCATGTGGCTGCTCCCTGCATCCCAAAGGGTCCCCCAAACCTCGCCAGGAGTAATCCGTAAGCACAGAGTCGGGAGTAAGTCCTGAGCACTGCCAGGTGTGACCCCAAAACCAAAAAGGGAAAAAAAAATTTTTTTTAATAAACTGTGCAAAGACATTGCTTATCCCTTCACTGTTCAAGCCAAGACAAAGGTCTCGGGGTGTTGCCTTCTATTCCGGGGGTGCAGGTGCTGCACTGTGCCCACGACTTCCCTTCCCCCACTTCCAGAAAGACCCCTCTCCCTGAGCCCCCCACCCCCACCCTTTCCTTCGGCCAGCATCCCCTGTGGGCGCAGGCTGGCTTTTGCTTTGTTTTGTCTGATCGATTATTTGAGTTCCTTGGTCTCCGTGAAGTTTGAGTTTCCCTCCCTGCCCCGAGCAGAGCTCCGGCAGCCGAAGACCTCCAGAACCAGCCACAACCATGCTGAGACCACTCTCCACACGCATGAAGGTACCGGCAGAGGAACAAAGGCATGTGGGTCCCGGGGCTGAGATCTCCAAGCCTGCTCGGATCGAGGCTGAGCATCCTCCACCCAGATCCTCCATCTTCCAGTAGGCAGGGGTCACACCCACCAATTGGCCCCCTGGCGCTGTGTAAAGCCATCAACGGCCAAGACCCAGAGACTATAAAACCCAGCTCCTGGAAGCTGGACATCTTATCTCATTCTTACTTTGGACAAACTGGCAGGCTACTGAATATAACCTGCCCACACGGCAGAGTCTGGCAAACTCCCCGTGGCGTACCCAATATGCCAAAGACCAGTAACAATGATGGGTCTCAATCTCCTAACCCTGAAAGAGCCTTGAATGTGGCACTTTTTAAATTCTCAGGGCTAGGACGAAGGAGATGTTACTGGTGCCTGCTCGAGGCAATCAACAAACAACAGGGTGATCGTGATCATGAAACCACATGCACAAGCCCCCAAGGTCAGGAGGGGTGGAAGTGGGGAGCAGAAAGGGGCAGATCATGCACAGACCCTAGCAGAGAGGAGAGAACTTTCCAGAAACTCTGCTGAGATTGACACGTGCTTCCCACAGACGGTCCACTTCTGAACATGGGAAAGCATGTGAGAATGTCACTGAGGTCAACCCCTGGCAGCCTAAGGGGGTGCCCCCGTGGGGGAACAGGGACCTCTCAAGCCCTCAGGGAACAGCCCAACAGGGGACCTGGGACACTGCGGCCTCACCAGGACAGACACTCGCTTTGGTGGCCAAACACAGCTGGCAGGGACACGCCTAGGGGAGGACTTTCGATACTGACACTCAGTGGGTCCGGAGAAAAAGCACAAGTCAGAGGGCTGATGCCAGGCGTGGCTGCAGGGGAGAAGGGAGAGATGCGGGTGTTCCTGGAGCACACACAGACCCAGGGCCGGGGCCTGGTATCACTGCATGAACCAGGGAAGGGAGAACTCCCAGCAGGCCAGCCAGGACCGCCCTCTTGCACACACAGGAAATCTGCCAAAGACAAGGGCCGAGGAAGCGGGGTGAGCGTTGCACCTCTGTGAACGTCAGAGCACAGAGGGCCGGTTTCCAGATGCCCCCAAACCCCACTGATCTGAAAGGAAGACCCAGCCATGTGCGTCGGTCATGAAACTGCCCCTCTTCATGCACTGCTCACACTCGGTGCCCAGGTGCAGGGAACGCTTCCTGCAGATGCAGCCGACAACGTGGTGGGCAGGAGGAAGCCGTCTCATTCAGAGTTTCCAATTAACAAAACCAAACCCCGCCTCGTCTTTTTTTTTTTCCAGCTCAGAGTTAACGACGAACAGGACAATACTTCATTCATTCGGTGCCACCCAGCAGTGAGACACCCCCGCCCCGCAACCCCCGGAGCCCGAGTTTCCAGGGGAGCGAGCCAAGGTTCAGAGGCTGCCAGGCCCTGCAATAAAGCAGCTGGACTGGGTCTCAGCAGGGGGCTGCGAACGCAACCCCCCTCCCCCCACATCCCCACCCAGACCCACCCTGCCAACACCAGCAGAAGCGCACAGGGAAGACTTCCAGTTGTGGCTGGCCAAGATCCTTCTCCAAACGCATCAATCCCACCGACTTCATCCCCACCCGAACAGAGACCACCTCAGGGAGAGCACTGCAGAAGGGGGCACCCAGTAGCCATCAGAAGGATGGTGGACACGCCCCTCCCCCGGGGCTCATGACTACAACCCTCCCCACCTCCCGCACACATAAGGCCCCTGACCACCTCATGGTCACACTAAGGGGCACAGTACACAGACCGTACCCAGAGAGGCAGCTGGCATGCGGCCAGCACTCTCTCATGGCTGGCCAGGAAAGCTCGGGAACGGTCAGCGTGATATCCCCCAGGCGCCAGGAGGGAGTTCTGGTCCCAGCTACCCGTAGGGCTCTTCGTCCCAGGCACGGCACAGCTCACGGGAACACCACCACCGAAACAGCCTTGCAAATTGAAACGTGTTTCTTTTTTTTTTTTTTTTGCTTTTTTGCTTTTTTTGGGTCACACCTGGCAATGCACAGAGGTTACTCCTGGCTCTGCACTCAGGAGTTAGCCCTGGCGGTGTTCAGGGGACCATATGAGATGCTGGGACTCGAACCCTGGTCGGCCACGTGCAAGGCAAACGCCTTACCCGCTGTGCTATTGCTCCAGCCCCTGAAATGTGTTTCTTAATTGTCCCCAACCAGAAGCAATGCTTTGTTAACATCAAAAGGGATGAGAATTTCAACTCGCCTGCATAGGGGTCTGGAAGGAGGAGCAAACGGTAGCAGACACGCTGAGCGTATGTAAGGTCTGGGTTCGAGCCCTGGGACCGCATGGTTGCTTCCCCAGCACTACTGGCAGAGTCCTTTCGCGTGCGCGCGTGCACATACACACACACACACACACACACACAAACACACACACACACACACTCACAGAGAGATGTAATGCTATTTTCCTCTCCTCACAGAGCAAAATGGGGCTTGTCATCATCAGAGAGAGAGCAAAGCAAGTGACCTGGGTTTGCTCTGCCTGGGGCCAGGCTCAGGAGTAGCCCCTGAGCATTGCTGGGTGTGGACCCCCCAAAACAAACACACAAACAAACAATGGCAAGAAGGTTTACCTCACAGGAGCGACTGGAGTTCTGAGGTAGCTGAGTTCCAGAAAATCCGTGGCTGCCACCTGAATCGAATATCTGACGGGCAAGAGGGAGAGAAGGAGGTCAGTGAGCCATCTCTATGATGTCCACTCGGCAGCAACCCGGCCGGAGAGAGAGTGCAGTGTGTGTGTGGGGGGGGGGGGGGTGCTGGCCTTGCACGAGGCCAACCTAACTTCAATCCCAGCACCCCATATGGTCCCCTGGGCCCTCCAGGAGCGATCCCTAAGCCAGGAGTAACCCTGAGCACTTCCCAGAGGTATAACCAAAAATACAACAGAAACAAAATAAATGAATAAATTTTTTAAAAAAACTTACATTCTACTACATCTTATAGTCTTTATTTCACAATTTGAACTGTTTGAAACTCTACCAATGTAAAGTTTTCACTTTGCAAAAATTTGGCATTTTTTTCTCTCCATTTATTTTTATTTATTTCATTTCCATTATATTTATTTCCATGTATTTAATTTTCTACCATATCATATGGCTGGAGCGATAGCACAGCGGGTAGGGCGTTTGTCTTACAAGCGGCCAACATGGCCGAGCCAAGTTCGATTCCTCCACCTCCCTCGGAGAGTCCGGCAAGCTACTGAGAGTATTTTGCCCACATGGCAGAGCCTGGCAAGCTCCCCGTGACGTATTCAATATGCCAAACACAGTAACAATTGTCACAATGGAGATGTTACTGGGACCGCTCGAGCAAATCGATGAACAACGGGAGGACAGTGACAGTGACAGTGACCATATCATCCATATTCCCTCTCGGAGAGCCCAGCAAGCTACCAAGAGTATCCCGCCCGCACGGCAGAGCCTGGCAAGCTACCCATGGCGTAGCTTGCATAGCTTGTTCTCGATATGCCAAAAACAGTAACTATAATGGGCCTCATTCCCCTGACCCTGAAAGAGCCTCCAATATGGCAGCATTTGGGAAGGACGAGTAAGGAGAGGCTGCTAAAATCTCAGGAGTGGGACGAATGGAGACGTTGCTGGCGCCTGCTCGAGCAAATCGATGAACAACAGGATGACAGTGATACAGTGATCATACAGATACTGATCATTTTCTACTGAATATTTTTTGTTTGCCTTTATTTTGGGGCCACATCCAGTAATACTCAGGGGTTACTTCTGGCTCTGCACTCAGGAATTACTCCTGGCAGTGCTCAGGGTACAACAAGAAATGTCAGGGATCGAACCCTGGTTGGCTGCACGCAAGGTAAACGCCCTACCTGCTGTCCTATCTCTTGAGCCCCAGTACTGACTATTCTTGTAACTTTTAACTGAGAAGTGTACCTTGCCTAAGATGTGGGACAGAGTTCAATGTTGACTGGCAAATGGCCAAACTCAAGCTTAATGCATGATTTTGTAATATGTGCACTGAGTCAATATTGGGACAGCACATAATTAAATAAAGAAAAACTAGGAATAATTTACTTTTCCCATTATTTACATTTGCTATGTTACAGTATAAATAATGAAAAGTAAAGAATAGTACACTTAAACATTTATGGACACAAATTACATCAACTTCATTTATATAAATACCCAATCATCTCATGTCTTTCTAAAACAAACAAAAATAAATAAAATATTCATCCCAGGGCTGGAGAGACAGGACAGCAGGTACAGAGCTTGCCTGGCATGCAGCCTACCTGGGTTTGATCCCCAGCATCTCATATAGGGTGCCCTGAGCACCCGCCAGGAGTGATTCCTTAGCGCAAAGCCAGGAGTGAGCCCTGAGCACCACTGGCTCTGACCCGAGCACCCCTATTCCCACACACACAAAAAAAAATTTTAATCAAATGCTTTTGTTTATTGAGAAATCTGATGTTGACAGCCTCTGCCACATACACAGGAAGGGCATTTAGGTGCCTTTCGAATTAACGAAGTGTCTAGGAAAAACAAGCAAGTTATTAAATTATTCATCACTAAAATCATTTCATTATACAGACCTGACTTCCTTGATCAAAACCAGATATGTCTCAGACATTTTTAAACATCACTTTTAAAAAATACAAGTCTGGGGCTGGCGCAATAGCACAGCAGATAGGGTGTTTGCCTTGCACAGGGCCGACCTGGGTTCGATCCCCAGCACCCCATATGGTCCCCTGAGCACCGACAGGGGTGATTCCTGAATGCAGAGCCAGGAGTAACCCCTGCGCGTCGCCGGGTGTGACCCCAAAAGCAAAATAAATAAATAAATATAAAAAATATACAAGTCCTGAGGCCAGAATGATAGTCCAGTGGGCAGGGCATTTGCCCTGTATGAGCCAAATTAGGTTCAATCCCCCACATCCCATATGGTCCCCTGAGCACCACCAGGAGTAATTCCTGAGTGCAGAGCCAGGAGTCACTCCTGAGCATCGATGGGTGTGACCCAAAAAGTGAAAAAAAAAAAGAAAAAGAACAATACAAGTGTGGGGACTGTGGAGGCAGATCAAAGGGCTCCGGCTGAACATTTTAGATGCTGTTTTTAAAAGACATGAGATGACTGTGTGGATATTTACATTAAAAAAAAGTTAGATTCCTCCAGCAGTAGCTGGGATTTCTAGTCATCCATAATCTATAATAAAGGAATGCATTTACAATGAAAAGCACCACATTCAAATTACAAGCAGAACCCCAATTTTAAAAAGTGACATTTTACAATGCCACCTTTCTTAGAAGTTAATTTCATTTTTATAAAGTTGTTCACAATAATTCATTACGTTTAATATTTGAACACCAATTCCACCACCACCGCACCTTCCCACCACCATATTTCAAATGTCTCCATCCCAAATCTCATGCCCCCCCCAAACCATTAATTTTGGTATTGCTCATTATGAATAATCTGCTAAAAATGGCCCAATAAAGTTTCCTTAGAAAAATGCCACATCTTAAATCACATGGATGTGTAGGTACAAAAACTGCTCAACACTGTTCACAATAGCCAGAAACTGGAAACAACCCGAGTGCCCGAGAACAGACGGACGAATGGTTAAAGAAACTTTGGTACATCTTCACAATGGAATACTATGCAGCCGTTAGGAGAGATGAAGTCATGGAATTTGCTTATAAGTGGACGGTCATGGAGAGTATCACGCTAAGTGAAATGAGTCAGGAAGAGAGGGGCAGGCATAGAAGGACGGCATTCATTTGTGGAGTATAAAATAACATAACATGAGACTGACACCCAAGAACAGTAGACACAAGGGCCAGGAACATTGCTTCATGGTTGGAAGGCTGCCTCATGAGCTGAGGGAGAAGGCAGCTGGGATAGAGAAGGGACCACTAAGTCAATGAGGGTTGGAGGGGTCGCTCAGCATGGGAGATGTGTGCTGAAAGTCGATAAAGGACCAAACGGGATGGCCTCTCAGCATCTGTATTGCAAACCACAATATCCAAAAGTAGAGAGTTATGGGGGAAATTGTCTGCCATGGAGGCAGGGGGGAGGGGTGGAAAGGGTGTGTGTGTGGAGGGGGGTAATACTGAGGACATTGGTGGTGGAGACTGTGCACTGGTGGAGGGATGGGTGTTTGATCATTGTATGACTGAAACTCAAACATGAAGGCTTGTAACTGTTTCTCACGGTGATTCAATCAAAAAAAAAAAAAACTGCTTGTGTCAAAGCAGCTTCCGTTTCCCCCACTCCTTCGGCCGGTTCTCTCCTCACTCTGATCTCCCATCTCAAAGCTGTGACCAGGCCCAAGAAGCTGGTCTGCAGGACACAACAAACTATGCATTAAAAGAAAAAAAAAAAGTCTGAATCTAAACTAGCACGGAATGTGCCTCTCCCCTCTCGGTGCTGTGCGAAAGCCTGTCGGAAGAACAGCAGCCTGTGAAAAAGAGCCCGGCTGCCCTGAGCTGCAAACCTGCCCCTGAAATGGTCATGGGGAGTATCATGCTAAGTGAAATGAGTCCCCTGGTCGGGGAGGGATGCGTGGGCCTCGCCACATCTGTGGAAGAAAGAAAACTCTCCCAGACCATCTGCGGGAAGTCCATGGCCGCACTCCAATACCAGGTGCCCAGCGGTCTTAACTGGACAAAGCCCTAAAACGGCCGCTAGAGCGGCAGCTGTCACCCCTGGGTGGGGCGGAGGTGAGGGCCAGCCGGGTCCCCCCACGGGCGCTGTGAACCAGCCTCTCCAGGCTCGTCTGGGGTAAACTGAGGGCGACCATCCTACCAGGCACCAGGCAGGGCACTACAGAAACATGACAATACTTCACTGCACAAAAAAACCCTGCCCAGTAGGGGAGGTTTTTTAAACAACAACAACAACAACAAAAAGACAAAGAGAAACAGAATTAAGGATTCTGTATTGGCAAGATGGCACAGTGAACATCAGAGATGCTGGTGGGGAGAACAGAGGGGCTGGTGAGCTGGTGCCCACCCCCTACCCCCAACATCCTATAACCGAGACTTTCATCTCCATGTGTGGAAAAGTATTAGCCCCACGAGAGGAAACAAAAGGGTGATACATTCTGGGTATCCTTTCTTTCTTTCTTTCTTTCTTTCTTTCTTTCTTTCTTTCTTTCTTTCTTTTTGGGTCACACCCGGCAATGCACAGGGGTTACTCCTGGTGGTGCTCAGGGGACCACATGGGATGCTGGGAATCAAACTGGGTCGCCCACGTGCAAGGCAAATGCCCTACCCGCTGTGCTATCTCTCCAGCTCCTCACTCCCCTTTATTTTTGCTGTGGTTTTGGTTTTGGTACCACACCCAGCGATGCTCAGGGCTTACTCCTGGCTCTGCAGTCCGGAATCACTCCTGGTGATGCTTGGGGGACCCTATGGGATGCTGGGGATCGAAGAAGATTGGCCACATACAAACCAGGCGCCCTACCCACTGCACTATCTCTCTGGCCCCCCCGTGTGTATCCTCTTTCCTTAAGTATCTGCAAGTATCTTCTCTCTCCCCATATCCGGGCTCAGCAGGGGTAAATGAGCCAGGTGTGAACACCTCTCCAGGAGTTCTAAAGAGAGGCTGGCCAATGCTGGCCCTACCCAGATTGCATTGGGGGGAGCCACCTTTATTTTTTAATTTTTCTAATATTTTTTTTCTTTTTGTGTCATACCCGGCAATGCTCAGGGCTTACTCCTGGCTCATGCACTCAGGAATCACTCCTGGCAGTGCTCAGGGGACCATATGGGATGCTGGGAATCGAACCTGGGTCGGCCGCGTGCAAGGCAAACACCCTACCCGCACCATCCCTGGGGAGTCATCTTTAATCCCCACAGTTATTAGTGTATGATGTGCCAGGGCTGTAGGGGGTGGGGCAGCCCCTCCCCCACCCGCACCCCCGCTGTGCAGTGCGCCCTCACCTGGGTGACGGAGGGCCTCTTCTCCTTGCCCTTCCTGGCCAGCGTGTCCAGGCCCTTTAGGGAGGAGAAGATCCCCTTCTTGCTCCTCGCCCGCTGCGTCAGGGACAGCGTCCTTTTCCGCAGCGCCGACTCGTCCCTGGAACACACCTGATTGGGAATGTGGTTTTGAACACTCTCGGTTTGCTTTGGGTGTCGGGGATGGGGGGTTGCATTCAGCTTACTTCGAGGTTTACTCCTGGCTCTGTGCTCAGAGATCACTCCCGGGGGTGCCAGGGATGAATCCCAGGTTGGCCGTGAGCTCCCTGTGCTATTTCTCTGGTCCTGGGAAGCCCTCCCACCCACAAAGATGCCAGCCCTGTACTCCTTGCCCAGTGCTCCTGCACAGACTGGGGTTGCAGCCACCGCCCCGATAGATGCTTCCCCAAAGGGGTGACACCATTCCCCAGAGGCTGCTGGAAAGATGGGGGGGAGGGGGGGACGCACACTGCTCTCTCTGCTGGACAGCTGACACTGGTGGCCACCACACTTCGTGTCCACACTCAGCCATGTTCAGCTGTGACCCACCGGTGGTACACACCAGCAGCAACACTTTCCAAGGGCAACACTGCGGGCTTTTATTTTATTTTTTTCCTGAAAAGGCGACAGGGATCCAAAGAAGGGTGGGAACCTTCTCCCTCGCACCGTGATCTCGCTGGAACGTTCACACAGGTTCTGGAAGGAGGCAGCAGTGGGCCCCCGGGGAGAATCAATTCCCCCCACTCCTCGTCCTGCAAAGCCCAGTGGACACTGGGCAGCTCAGATCAAGCCAAGCACGTCCATGCGACAATGGATTCCCCTCTGCCTGTTCCTGGGTGCGGAGCAGGCAGGTCTGAGACCAGATGGCCGCTGCGGTTCCCCGGACCCCTGGACAGGGCAGCAAAGCCTGGACTCTGACCCCCCAGGGGCCCCGATCTGCTCCTGGGCTGGTCAGCTCTGAAGGCGGGAGGCTGAAGCAAACAGAAGCTGCACTCCACCCCCCACACACACCAAACCCACCCACGTCACCCCGCCCGTCCAGCCACTTACCAGAGCGTGGAAGGAGGAAACGGACAAGATACCCAGGCGGCTGAGGGCCAGCTTGGAGGGGCGGCTGGTCGCGGCCAGCAGGCTCTTGGGATTGGGCAGCTCGCCGCCCTGCAGGCTGGCCAGGTAGCAGCGCATCCTGAAAAGGTCCATGTGGAACTTCTCCAGGTTCTGCTCCCACTGCTGAATCTACGGGACAGGAAGAGAGCGGCCTGAGGTCGGGGGACCCACTGCAGAACCCCCACGGGGCAGGGCCCAATGCTGCCCCAGGCCCCTTCCCCGACTGATCCTAGACCCCCTCCTGGCAGGCCCTGGAGCCAGAGAGTGCCACTAGGACTCTCTCCTGGGGGATTCTGCAGCCTCCAAGGATATGTCAGAACCTGGTGCAAAGCACCATTATCCCCAGAGAGGAGGCAAAGGAAGAGGCAGACGAGCCCGCTTCCTTTTGGTTTTGGCTTCCCTGGCGATGCTCAGGGCTCGTTCCTGGCTCTGCACGCGGGGATCACTCCTGGTGGTGCTCAGGGAACTGCATGGCGATTGAACCAAGGCAAACACCCCGCCTGTTGTACCAGCACCCTGAAAGTTCAGGAGCCACAGATGGGAACGCTCAGGGCTTACTGCTGGCTCCGTGCTCAGGGTCAGGGGTCACTCAGGAAACATATTGGGTGGTGGAGATTGAACCTGAGCTGGCCACGTGCAAGGAAAGCGCCCTCGCCACTGAACTATCATCTACAGCCCCAACACACATTTTTTTAAAAGACAATTCTCTCAGCTTCCTGAATAAAGAGTGTTATTAGTAATAATTATTATTAAAATGATAATGTTATCTGACATCATATTTATTGGGGAACGTCTGGACCTTTTTTCCCCTTATGTTACTCCAAACTGAAACAGCCCAATCAATTCCCTTAAATCATGACTGTTTTTCTTTCTTCTTTCTAAATTCTCTACTTGAGCATCCTTCATCCTTTTTTCACTAGTTTTTGAGATGAAAATCAGGATATAATCACTAAAACTCAACCTTCTCAACCTCTATATGCTTGGAGCTTGTGTTTTTTTTTTTATTATTATTATTTCCGTTGCATATAAACTACTGCCTCTCTTAAGTTTTTGTTTGAGACACTGTGACAATACTGTTGATAATGGGGCTCAGTGTGCCAATGCCACACACACACACACACACACACACACACACACACACACCCAAGCTTGGACTGCTCTTTTTTCTTTTTTCCTTTTTGGGTCACACCCAGCAATGTTCAGGGGTTACTCCTGGCTTTGCATTCAGGAATTACCCCTGGCGGTGCTCAGGGGACCATATGGGATGCTGGGAATCGAACCCGGGTCATCCACATGCAAGGCAAACGCCCTACCCGCTGTACTATCACTCCAGCCCAGGACTGCTCTTAATACCCATTAGGGATAAAACATGAGGACATGGAAGAAGGGAGGGGGAAAGAAAACACGTCACTCTGAGGAGCTTTTTGTTATCTTTCAGATAAAAGAAAGCATGAGAACAGCCAACTTAAGGGGAGTGAGCCCATCTCTAAGCGCTGACATAAAAGCAATGTAAAGCTCTTTCTGCTAACAGAGCTCAGGGGATGGGGGAGGGAGGAGTGTTTGGGGGAGGTGGGGTGGGAGGGAAACAGGGGACATTGGTGGCGGGAAACGTACACTGGTGAAGGGTGGAGCACTGCATGACTGAAACTCATGACCGTGTTTGCAACTGTACACTGGTGAAGGGCCAGGTAAAGTTGGAACATTGCAATACTGAAACCCAATCATGAACAACTTTGCAACTGTATACCTCATGGCATACAATTTAAAAAAGAAGAAGAAGAAGAAGAAGCATCTGAAAAGTAAAAAGAAAGAAAAAGAAGAAACCAAAGTGGTTTTTGCGTTTTGATCTAAAGGGATAGCCAACCCCTTCCATTGATTCTAAACCTCAAGTCTAATAAACCTATATTTGTTATAATTATTTAAAAAAAAAATAAAGCTCTGGACTCAGGAGGAAGGAGAGGTCGGGGCGAAGGCCGGGAGCTAAAAATAGCGAGTGAGTAAGTGACAGCAGGCAGGGGTGCCCGTTCCCGGCCGCACCCTGCACTTCTGGGAAAGCATGGGTGCCCCTCGCCACGTGACTGGGGTCTTGCTCTCGGGACCATGGCCGTGCTTGCCCGACAGGATAAGCCGCATTCACTGGAGGAGGACATGGAGGAGGTCTCCTGGGGTCCACCCCAGCACCAGACCCCACTTGCTCCCACGAAGGGCCCCGTGGGTTTGGCTGACGTGAGGTGGCACCAGGCTGGCGAGCCGCCCAGAGACAACCAGCTTTCAGGCTTTTGCCATGTTGCTCGTACAAGAATGCTCACATGCTTGGTTGAAACACAGTAGGGGAGGGGAGGTTTTGGTCCCAGGGTCCTGGCTGCGGTATTTGTAAATCTTTGTTGCAAATTGTGGGACTCCCCAGGAGTCACTTGTTTTAGTGTCTTGTGTGTGTGTGTGTGTGTGTGTGTGTGTGTGTGTGTGTGTGTGTGTAGTGCTTGCACATACTTTGTTGTGGTGTGATAAAGAAAAAATAAAAAATAAAAAACCTCTGGCAGCAAAGCTGTCAGGACCCCGAGGTGCACATGTGGGGCACTGGGGACTTGAACTCATGACCACAGGCTTGTACGGCTGGCGCCCTAAGTCCCTGCACTACTCTACATTTTCCTCTCAGAGGCAAACCACTCTCTAGTCTGACAGAACTGGCAGCTTCTGGGGTCCTGGGGATGAGAGAGAAGACACTCCTACTTCTTCCTCTCACACCTGCACTTTAAGGGCCTGAAAAAAAAAAACAACTGCCAGGATGACACAGCATTTTACTCGGCCTGGTCCCCTGCTATCCCCTAGCATGGAATGTCCTTCCTCATTCCTCTCCTGATAACCCATTTCATCATGAAACAGCTTAGCACCCCCTCCTCCAGGAAGTCTGCCAGGACTGCCCAGGAGAGTAAACTTCTTGCATAGTATCAGGTCAGAATTCATTAAAACGTGTGACGCCCTAAGCTCAACTGCCGGTGTCCCTGCAGGTCCAAGGGCACCCTGAGGGGACAGACAGCACCTCCCTTGGGTCTAGCCTAAGTGCATCGCCTAAGCCCATCTACCACTGACATCCACTGGTACCCCCTGGGGTGGAGGAGAGCCCACGAAGGTGACACGGCCGACCCGGGTTAGATCCCCGGCATCCCAAATGGCCTCCCCCCACCCCCGCAGCGCCGGGAGAACTCAACCAGGCCTCCCAAACAGTCTCCCCTTCGTTGCTGTCTACCCCCAAGCCACCCACCACCCTCTGGGACCCCCTCGCCCTGGATGCTGTTTTCTCTGAGGCCTTTTCACTTTGCTCCTGGACCACAACACCCAGATGTCCCCACGTGATCCGTCCTTGGAGTGAACCAAGCCAAGGGCAGGTTCGCTCAGCCCCAGGGGCCCTGGCCACCCGCGAGGGCTCGCTCTGCCCGCTGAACCTCCCCTCTGCCTCTCTGGTCACCCTACAGGAAGCCCTTTGGGGACGGCTTGTCCAGAGCTCCAGGCTGGAATGAGGAGCAGACAAGAGGGGCCGGAGTGACAATCCAGAGGGAAGGGCAACTGCCTTGCACACGGCCGACCCGGGTTTGATTCCCAGCATCCCATAGGGCCCCCCAAGCACTGCCAGGAAAAATTCCTGAGCACAGAGCCAGAAGGAACCCCTGAGCATCACTAGGTGTGACCCCAAACCCAAACAAAAAGTGAATACGACAGAACGCCCAGCCTAAAGGCCCCGACTTCCTTGGAAAGCAACTCCCCGAGCCTATGGGGGAGACCAGAGCCACGGGCAGGTGTGCATGTGACCCCATCAAAAACTAACCGAAGTCGGGCCCAAGCAATAGTACAGCGTGCAAGGTGTTGGCCTTACACACAGCAGAACGAGCATCCCAGACAGTCTCCTGGAGCACAGAGCCAGGAGCAAGCCCGGAGCACGTCTGGGTGGCCCTAAACCCCACCCCACCCCCCACCCCCGATAAAAGAAACAAAAGCAAGACAACAGTTTGGGCCCGTGCCTCGGACATTCAGGAATACCTTCTCCCCACCCCTGGCCCCGTCCCCCCAGCACTGTTTTGTTTTTTCTTTTTTAATTTTTGTTAGTGAAATACCATGAGGTACAGTTGTAGACTTACAAATTTTTGTGCTTGGGTTTCAATTGTACAATGATCAAACACCCATCCCTCCACCAGTGGCCATTTTCCACCACCACGGGTCCCAGTATCCCTCCCACCTCCCATCCCCCCATTCCACCCTGCCTCTGTGGCAGGGCATTCCCTTTTGTTCTCTCTCTCCTTTGGGGTGCTGTGGTTTGCAAGAGAGGCATTGAGTGGCAATCATGTTCAGTCTATAGTCTACTTTCAGCATGCTTCTCCCATCCTGGGAGGATCCTCCCAACACCCTTTATTTGGTGCTCCCCTCTCTATCTGAGCTGCCTTCTCCCTCAGCATGTGCAGCTGGCCTCCGGGCCATGGAGTGAACCTCCTGGTACTTATCTTGGCTATTCTTGGGTGTTAGTCTTCCAATTTGTTACTTTATGTCCCTCAGATGAATGCAGTCTTTCTATGCCTGTCCCTCTCTTTCTGACTCATTTCGCTTAGCATGATACTTTCCATGTAGTACCACTTATATGTAAATTTCATGACTTCATCTTTTCTAACAGCTGCATAGTACTCCATTATGTAGATATACCAAAGTTTCTTTAACCAGTCATCTGTTCTCGGGCACTCAGGTTTTTTTTTTCCAGATTCTAGCTATTGTTTACAGCGCCCAGCACTGATTGGGAGTAACTCACAACACCCGCGTGGCCTCCTTGGACAGGAACACACACCTGGTTCTCGATGGCCTTCCTGTTGCGGGGGTCACTGACCACGGCCAGCTGCAGCCCGGCCATCTTGCGCATCTTGCTGTCCATGTCGATCTTCTGCGCCAGGCTCCGGGCCTGACTCCGCAGCAGCCGCACAGTGTCCTCCTTGCCCTGCCGCTTGGCGAGGAGCGAGGCGCACGCAGAGTGCAGTGCCGTCACCCAGTTCTCCAGGTCTGTCTGGCTGGTGGCCTGGGCGCAGGGTGGGGACAGGGGAGAGGCCGCGTGAGGCTCCCAGGCCCCTCTCGTGGGCGTGCCAACCCCACCACCCCAACCCGGCACCTTTGCTCCTTTAAAATCCATCAACGCTGACCCCACACCCGGGCCCGCAGTGCCAGCCTCCGGGAGGGGTTCGGGGCAGAGTGGAAAAGACCCTGCAGCCCCCACAACCTCAGGGGAGCCCTAAAAAAGACAAACCCCATCCCCCGGGGAGGGAAAACTATTGGGCCTGACGTCCTAATTAGGGGCAGGAGAGAGAGTACAGCGACTCAGACACTTGCTTAGTACATGGCTGACCAACCGGGATTAGGTTCGATCCCCGGCATCCTATACCATCCCCCCCGCCCCGAGCACCGCCAGGAATCATCCCCATGCATCCCTGGGTGTGGCCCCCAAACCGAAAGCAAGTAAATAAATAAATGGTTTTTTTTTTTTTTAAATGCAAAGGTAAGGGCTGGAGCGAGAGCACAGCGGGGAAGGCGTTTGCCTTGCATGCAGCCGACCCGGGCTCAATTCCCAGCATCCCATATGGTCCCCTGAGCACCGCCAGGAGGAATTCCTGAGTGCAGAGCCAGGAGTAAGCCCTGTGCATTGCCGGGTGTGACTCAAAAAGCAAAATTAATTAATTAATTAAAGATAAAATAAAATGCAAAGGTAGACACCAGAACAAAAATGCCACCAGTGGTTAAGGACACAGTTCGGGTGAAATGTGGGCAGGAGAGCGGGAGGTCAGACACCATAGCAAGACACACACACTGTGGACTCCAGGGCACCATGTTCCTGTGTGAGAGGGGTCTTCTCTTACACATGAACAGGAGGGGCCGGAGAGAAAGTACCAGTGGTCAGGGCACTTGTCTCGCATCTGGCCGGCCCCAGTTCATCTCCGAGCATCCCGTCAGGTCCCCAGAGCTCACCAGGGATGATCCCTGAGCTCAGAACCAGGAGTCAGCCCCAGCGTATCTGGGGGTGACCCAAAGGGCAAAAAAACAATGAAAAACTCAGCTCTCCTGGTCAAATCTTTCCGGCTTCACTACCAACTCCAGGCTGGAGATTCGATAGGGGGGTGAAGGTGCCTCCTGGAGGGGCCCCCGTATGAGCCCCAGAGCACTGCAGGGAAGGAATCCTGAGCACAAAGCCAGGAAGTACCCCTGAGCACTGCAGGGTGGGACCCCGTCTCCCCACTCCCTAAACGCCAAACACAAAGACAGGGCTTGGGGTCGCCCACCTCACATCAGAGAGTTACTTCCGGGCAGGATTCCTGAAGCTTCTCTCTGTGCCCTGGGGACCACCCCACAGACAGCAGCCAGTATCCAAAAGCCCAGGAGGATGAGTGATGTGGACACCCCCTCCCCTTCCCGCAGAGGGTCCCTGGTTGGGGTCCCAGCCGTGCCCTGGAGCTCAGCTCCTTCCCCACCCCCGTGGGCACACGTCTGACCACAGCACCCCCCCCCCCCGCCCTCCCCCCGGCTGGGAGCACGCAGGACCTGGAACAGGTAGACGTCGCCGAAGGCGTTGCTGAGGCAGAAGACGTGCTCTTTCTTGGGGTGCTCGGGCACCGCCTGCACGATGCTGTCCTCGGCAAGCAGTGCACACCGCGGGGCGCTGGCCTGGTCGGTGCAGTTCTTGCCGTAGGTCTCATAGAAGAGCAGGGTGCAGCCTAGGGGGAGCAGAATCTCGGCGTCTGACAGTGGGATGGGGCGGTGAGGGTGCCAGAGGGGTGAGGGGGGTGAGAACTGTTGGACTGGTCCTTTAAACCTCACCACAGTGGGGGGGGGGGGTCCTCCTTGTATACAATCACGCCTCGAGGGGCCGCCAGGAGTAAGCCCTGAGCACCGCCAGGAACAGCCTCAGAACCAAAATAAAGAATACATCTTGCTTGCCTGTCTAAATTAAAGGGTGTCTTAGTTAAAGAAAATCCAAAGACAGGCTGGCGCAATAGTACAGCAGGTAGGGTGTTATGCCTTGCACACAGCTGACCCAGGTTCAATTTCCAGGATCCCATTTGGTCCCCTGAGCAACGCCAGGAGTGATTCCTGAGTGCAGAGCTAGGAGGAACCCCTGTGCATCGCTGGGTGTGACCCCCCCCCCAAAAAAAAGAAAAAAGAATAATCCAAAGGGACAGGGGCCGGAGAGACAGTACAGCAGGTAGGGCACTTGCCTTGCACACAGCTGACCCAGGTATGATCCCCCACCCCCACCTGCCCTGAGCACTACTAGGAGTGATTCCTGAGTGCACAGCCAGGAGGAAGCCCTGAGCACTGCCAGGAGTGGCCCCAAAACAAAATGAAACAGAATCCCATTGATAGGGATGCAGGGAGAGGAGATGACGGGCTGGCCCGGGAGGAGAGACAGAGGCACGAGGAGGTGCCGGCCTGGCCCTCTCTGACCCTTGTCCCTGAGCATCGCTGGGTGTGACACAACAAGAAAAAAAAAAGTTGCATAAACAGGGACTGCTCCTGGGCCCTGAACAGTGCTCCCTGCACCAGGGGGCCCTAAGCCGTGCTCCCTGCTCCAGGAAAGCCTGATGTCCCCCCTCCCTCCTCGGGAGAGGCCAGTCCACGTCCTGCTGCATGTGTCACAGGCCAAGAGCAGGGGGCCGGGGGCTGGCGTAAAGGTGACAGGGCTCCACCCGCTCGGTTCTTTCCAGTGAGTTGGTGTTTGCTTCCCGTGTTCCCCTGACGGTGTCCCCTGCCTGGCTCGTGTGCAGAAGAAGTACATGCATCCTCCGGCACAGACACATCTCACACAGACCGTGGCCCTTCTCCCAGGCCAGGCCTGGCGGTCCGACAATTGCTGGCCTGCGATGGCTCTCCCGCTGACGAGGGTGGGGGTGGCAACTGGAAGCCCCCGAACCCAGGGAACTGTCTTAATCTTCAAGGTGCAGGGGTTAATGGAAAGGGGCTTCCTAGCACCCCCAGAGTTGTGACAACCAGTCCTGCATAACGCATCCCCGAGAGCTGTTCTGGCATGGAAGCTTCTGGGAGGGGGGGTGATGAGGAGGGGGGTACCGGCTCATAAGAGCCATGAAGTACAGGGACAGAGGGGAGCCATGACGCCAAGAAAAAGAGCAACACGTCTTGGTGCTCTCCCGAGAAACACCCTAAACCAGTTATGCTCCACACCTCATTCTCATCCGACAGAGCCCCGAGCACCCTGAAAGCGCTTAAGGATTCTGGTCTAGGGACGCCTCTGTATCTGAGACAGATCCTGCCCGCCTGGCCCAGCCTTCAGCCAGCAAAGTCGCTGGGGCCACATGCACAGCCACTCACGGGAAAGTCAGAAGCAGACACGCCCTCCGCAGGGAAATCGCCCCCTCTGCACACAGTTCACCCTCTGCACACAGCTCACCGTCTGTACACAGTTCACCCTCTGCACACAGCTCACCCTTGGCACACAGTTCACCTTCTGCACACAGCTCACCCTCTGCACACAGCACACCTTCTGCATACAGCTTACCCTTTGCACACAGCACATCCTCTGCACACAGCACACCCTCGGCACACCGCTCACCCTCTGCACAGAGTTCACACTCTGCACACAGCTCACCCTCTGCACACACTCAGCCTCTGCACACAGCTCACCCTCTGCACTAGCTCAGCCTCTGCAGACAAACAAGCCTCTGCACACAGCTCACCCTCTGCACACAGCTCACCTTCTGCACACAGTTCACCCTCTTCACACAGCACACCTTCTGCACACAGTTCACCCTCTGTACACAGCACACCTTCTGCATACAGCACACCCTCTGTACCCTCAGGCTTGGGGATACTAGCCGTCCCCAGCACAGTCACTCTCCCCTGCGCCCCTCTTGAACTGCCTTCCTTCCATCTGTCCGGGAGACGTGTGCCCACGTCCCTGCCTTCCAGCTTCCAGCGCAGAAGTCCACCGAGCCCCAACAGTACAAGTGGGGTTCTCCGCCAAGCAAGTTAAACGTGGCACACCCGGAGTCTCAGAGGAAAAGGTGTAGAACGGCACGTGGGAAAGGTCACACCAGGGGTGGGGGAAAAAAAAATCTTTATCACACAGCTTTCCTGGCTGCAAAGGAAAGGCAGGAATGTGCCTGAGAGCGTTTGCACACATAAAGCGGCCTTTCTCTGGGGGCACTGGGCGTGCTTTACACACCAGCACAGGGGTGTGGGCGCGGCAGAGTTGGCACCATAGGGGAAAGAAAGTCCCAGCTGGCCCTTGCTCAGGGGCTCTGAGGGCCCAAGGGAGCATCAGGGGGTATAGGTCCCTGCAGGACCTCCCGGCCTTTGCGCATGACCTGCCTGTGATCATCCCCGGCCCCCTGCAACCCCTGCATGTGCACAGACACACACACACACACACACACACACACACACACTGCTCTGAGGGACAATTACAGGCGACCCACCCTCGCTGGGCATCGCCAATGCCTCTTACTGCAAGAGATCATGCCTTAAGGGCCCCCCTGTCTCTGCCCCCCACCTGTGGGAATGGGGAATGGGGGAGGGCGCGCTCCTCTGGTGTGCTGGACACTGACCAGAGAGGCAGCACAGTGGGCTGGGTACTTGCCTGGCCGCAGCCTCCCTGGTCTGCTCCCCTCACGTGGTCCCTGAGCATCACCAGGAGTGGCCCCTGGGGTGGCCCCGCCAAAATAAGCAGCACTAACCTTGTACCCCTGAGGTGTGTCTGGAAGCACTACCTTCGGCCCTGGGGTCCACCCCCGCCCCTCCCCGAGACCAACATGGCCAGAGACCCATGCCGGGTACCCGCCCCTCAGCACCCCACTGGGCCAGGTCCACAAGGCAGCCTGTGCACAGACCCCCAGCTGCCCCCATCTCATTCTACACAGACGGGACCTGGAGGGTCCCAAGGCCCTCACAGGGAGAGCATGTGATGTGAGTACTCAAATAGGAGGTGGGGTGACTCCACACCAAGCAGTGCTTGGGAGCTACTCCTGCCACAGTGCTCCAAGTTGCTCCTGGGGACGGAGGGGGCTCTGGGGACCCAGCCCAGGGTTCCCGCATACAGCTCAGTGCTCCAGCCCTTGCTCGAGGAACCCAGAGTGCAGAGCCAGGAGTCAAAAAGGAAAGCAAACGAAGAACAGAAAGAGCATCAGTCCCAGGAAGGAATCCGGACAGCCCGAGGAGGGGGTGCGAGGGAACACCCAGCAGGTGCTCGGACCTGGCCTCAGGGGCCCCTTTCACTCTCCCCCACTTAGAGGAAGCCCTCTGAAAATCTGAAAATCTTCAAAGGAATCTCCTGTGCTGTGGTATTGTCCCTGGAGGAGAGAGTGGAGCCTCAGGCAGAGACCAGTACAGAGGAGGAAGGGGAGGAGGGGGAGGAGGGGGAGGAGAGATCAGGAGGGAGGTGGAGGAGAGGGAAGAAGGAAGGGGTAAGGAGGAGGAGGGAGGGGGAGGAGGGCTTAGGGAGGAGGAGGAGGAAGAAGGAGGAAGGGGAGGAGAGAGGAGGATGAGGGAGGAGGAGGGAGGGAGGAGGGAGAAAAAGGGAGGAGGGAGGAGTAAGGAGGAGGAAGGGCACAGTCCCCCCATTAGGTCCCTCTCTGAGCACCAGGCAGCTCCTCTAACGGCCACCAGATGGGGGACAGGTGCGCCCGAGGTCAGGATACACTTGCTGCGGTGCATAGATCATGACCATGGACCTCACTGTCCCTCCCGGCACCCTGGGGTCAGTCCCCCCACATCCCACCCCTCCCCCCCAGCACCACCAGCGCTGTCCTTCCTTGCCAGTGCTGGTGACAACGCTTCTGACACACACAGTGACTGCTTCCTTTGCATTTGGGGGGGGGGGGGGGTGACGGGGAGGCTCTGGTGGGTGCCCATGACAATGGGATGAGCTGAGGTCACCGAGGTGGAATGAGGGATTCCTCGGCTGTAGAGCAGGCAGAGGACATCTCGGGAACTGGGCACGGGCAGGCGCAGAGCAGGAAGGAAGTGGGGGGGGGGGGGGGTGCGGGGCAGGGGAATCCCTCTGCCAGGGCGAAGAGACCTGGTCAGGGCGTCCCTCCACGGGAATAAGTGGCCACGCTCACCTTCCATCGCTCCCAACCCGAATGAAGCCAGCAGGGATGTGAGCGAGCCCACCCACCCCCTACCCCGCACACGGGTCCGAGACCCCAGGCCTGCTGGCCACAGGACGCTCGTCCGCTGGTGCTAGCTCAAAGGAATCTCCAGCCCAGGGGGCGCGGGAGGAGAGGAGGGGCCCGGGGGGACACTCACCCTTCAGCGTCACCCAGTACTGCTTCCACTTCCTGCGCGTCACCAGCTCCAGCTTCCGCTCCTTCTGCAGGGTGATAAGGGGCTTGAAGAAGAGCCAGCCAGCCTTGCGGACCACCCCCTGCTCCTTCTCGAAGAGCAGGTCCAGCTGCTCCAGGGAACTCAGCGACTCGCTGCTGGACTCGGCGGTCCCCGACGACGTGTCCCCGTGCTCCGTGTGCGCCCGGCTCATCTCCAGCTCACGCATGAAGTTCTCGTAGATGTTCTGGCGGAGGGCGTCGCTGCCCAGGGCCAGCGCCGACTCGCTCCGCTGGGACAGGGTGTGCGCCGAGTCCCCCGCCGACGGCAGCCCCAGCGGCTCCACGTTCAGGCCATCGGAGTGACTGTCGAAGTACTCGCTGCCCTCCTTGGACCTTGGCTCCTGTGGTGACAAGGCAGATCCCCGGCCCGTGAGAGGGTCCCGACATCCAACCCCTGTCCCCTCCCGCTAACGCTGCCTGTCGCAGAGCCCAGGGCTGTTCACACAGAGTAACTCTGTCATCACCGTCTCTGGACCAGGAGGAAAAGCAGATGCCAGGCTGCAGGATGTAGGGCCATCACCGGCCACCATCCAGATCTCAAGGCTTTCTCTCTCAGAAGGGAGCAACGTGACCCCCACCATAGCCATACCACCGGACTCCGGCGCCAGGCTGTTTGACCTGGGGTGCAGCAGTGAGGGCCGGTGAGAGCCCTCCCTGCCCCAAGGGACCCAGCCCCGACAGCCAAAAACTTCAGAACCCAACCCCCGCCATGCTTAAGGCTACTCCCAACATATCAGGCCAAGCCTCGTGCACAAGTGAACCTTTTCCTGGACCGCGTGACCACATTTGCGGCTGCATGACACATCATAAGACATTCCAACCCATTCTCCAAGAGTACCACACCACATTTGATGGGGTTCAAATATATATATTTGAACCAATATAGAGGGAAATATATATATGAATATATATATTTTTTCAGATATACATACAAAAGTTCTATCACTCAACCTTTAACAACAAGTTTGTGATTTCCTAAAGAAGGTCTTAATAGCTCCTGCCAAAATAGAACAACCTTCACACTATTTCCTCTATGGATACTTTTTTGTAGCATTTTCAGCTGTTTCTCATAACACACAATACAAAATATACTATTTCGGTTGTGCTTTGGGACAGGGATTGGGGCTCAGGATGGAAACATCCCAAATCTGGTGGTGGGAAGGTGTCATGGTGGTGGGATTGGTGTTTGAATATTAAATGTAATCAAATATTGTGAACTACCTTATAAAATAAAATTTTTTAAAAAATAAAAATGTAGGGCCAGGAGCCAGAGAGAAAGTACAGTGGGTAGGGTGTGTGCCTTGCATATGGCCAACCTGGGTTTAATCCCCGGAACCCCATATGGTTCCCCAAGCCCGGCCAAGAGTGATCCTTGGGGGTGGAGGCAGGATCAAGCCCTCAGTTAGCACAGCAGGGTGTGGCAACAACCACAAATGACAACAACAAAAAATGTAGGGCCAGGAAGGTAACAATGGGTTGTGCCAGCAAGCTTGGTTCCCTGAGCACCACTAGGAGTGACACTCAAGCCTGAGGCTTTACACCAGATGGGAGGGGGTGTAGCAGAGAAGGCAACCCATCTCGACTAAAATACAAACAACACAGAAGGCATAAACTATAACAACATCACTTTAGTAATCTCTTAATAGCTCCATGGTGAAATGCAACAATCTTCACTAACTATCTTGTAAGGGAACATTTTTTGATCATTGAGTTAGCAATGAGTTAGTCTCCTGCCCCCACACCTGGCTGTCCTCACCAGGGCCCCTTGGAGGGGGAAGGGTTGAGTTTCTCTCCCCACCCCCCCCCCCCCCCCGCCCCGAGTAGAGTCCCAGCAGCTGAGGACCTCCGGAGCCAGCCACAGCCATGCTGGGACCACTCTCCACACATCTGGAGGGGCCTCATGCATGAAAGATCTGGCAGAGGAACCCAGACATGAGGGTCTCGGGGCTAAGGTCTCCAAGCCTACTCAGATTGGGACTGGGCCTTCTCCAGCTAGATCCTCCATCTTCCAGTAGGTAGGCATCACACCCACCAGCTGCCGCCAGCGCCAGGTTGTTCCCATCAACGGCCAAGACGCAGAGACTATAAAACCCAGTTCCCAGAAGCGCACGGCCACATTTGCGGCCGTGCGACATCTTATTATCTTATTTTCCTTTGGAGAACCTGGCAGGCTACCAAAAGTGTCCTGCCCGCACGAGAGAGTCTGGCAAACTTCTCGTGTCGTACTCAATAATGCCAAATACCAGTAACAACGATGGGTCTCATCCTCCTAATCCTGAAAGAGCACTGAAATGGTTCTTTTAAAATCTCAGGGCTAGGAAGAAGGAGACGTTACTGGTGCCTGCTCGAGGAAATCGACGAACAACAGGATGATCGTGATCGTGAGTTAGAAAATTATTGATAACAAGCGAATAAAAATAAATTATTTAGGGCAGGCTTAAGGGAAGATTGGGTGGTTAAGGGAAGATTGGAGACAATGGTGGAGGGAAGGTGTCGTGGTGGTGGGATGGGGGCTGGAACAGGGAATGCCTGTAACAAAACATCACGAACAACTTTGTAAACCACAGTGTTCAGATGAAGTGTAAGAGGGAAATTCGAAAATATTAATTAATCAAATGGTCAAAAGAATGCCTGAGGCTATGAATAGCCCGTGAGCTCCTGAGGAATGGTCCAAAAATGAATGAATGGATGAAGGAATACATGAAACACAGAGACCAAAAAAAAAAAAAATTCAAGCCAAATAACACCGTCCATCCTCCAGAGAACCCTCTGCTGAGTGTGAGGAATTTCCTAAGGATGCGAGCAGACGCGGCTCACGCAGATCTTGAGTGTTGGCTGGGCACCAGGCAACCCCTGGCACTGCTTGGCCTCTACCATGCCAAGGAGCCCCTCAGCACCACTAGGTATGGCCAGAACAACACCCCCCACCCCCGCCGCCACCGAAACAAAGATTTCATGTGACTGTCATCTTTCCCTCCTAGATGATGTATAGCTAATCTAGAAAATGGCAAGTTCCTAGGTTGTTCGGGTGAGGACACAGGAAATCACACAGAAACTTCTGCTATTCACAATCTCTTCCTCTGACCTCCCCACCAAACCCACCACCTTCCCCGCTCCCCTCCTGGTCCAGGCCTGGAATCCCGAACCTCTGATTCCCCGACTTCAGGGACTAACAACCACCCACACTGGGGAGGGTCCTTAGGCATAAAAGGGGGCGGCAAGTAACTGCACCTTTTCGATTTTGTCCTGTTTTATGTTTTTTTTTGTGGGGGGGGGGGTCACAGCTGGCAATGCTCAGGGATTACTCCTGGCTCTGTGCTCAGGAATTGCTCCTAGAAGTGCTCAGGGGACCATATGAGATGCCGGGGATCGAACCTGGGTCGGTTGCATCCAAGGCGAGTGTCCTCCCCACTATGTCCGTCTAGTCCCTGTAGCTTGCTTTCATAACCCACACATCACAGTGACATTTGGAAATGTCTTTCGGAAAAGGAAGGCACTCTACACTCATCCATGCCTCGGTGACCTAAATGCCTTTTTGTTTGTTTAGGGGGCCAAACCCTGTCCGTGTTAGGGAACCATACAGAGTGCCGTGGGTTGAAGCTGATGAGGCACATGCCAGGCAGGCACTATCTCTTGGGCCCCTGAAAGCCTTCTGTTTTCTAAGCCCTAAAACACCCAACACAGGGCTAGACTGATAGCACAGCGGGCAGGGCGTTTGCCGTGCATGTGGCAAACCCAGGTTCAATTCCCAGCATCCCATAGGGTCCCCGGAGCACCGCCAGGAGTAATTCCTGAGTGCAGAGCCAGGAGTAACCCCTGTGCATCACCAGGTGTGACCCAAAATGCAAAAAAAAAAAAGAAGAAGAAGAAAAAAAGAACACCCAACGCATGATTCTTCCATATTTTTCCCGATACAAAATCAGACACAGGCAATTCTAAATCAAACTGACACCAAAGTGATGCACAGTTTCCCCCCCGACAGTTAATACATGCCCTGGGTACTGGACTAGCCGTGTGTGGGGCTGGGAACAGGAAGTTTCCTCTAACATTGTTCACTAACAAGGACGTCCACAGAGCTCGCTGCTAACTGCAGGAGCTTGTAAGTCCCGAGCAGCAGTGAGCTGGCGCCCACTGCTCCAGAGACACGGGCTTTGCCCACTGACAGCTTGGATGAAGGGCTGCAGGGAAGCCGACCCCTTGCTCACACTCTGCACGCAGCCTTTCCAGTTCACGTCTTTACCCACTGAATCAAAACAAGGGGGAACTGTGTCAAGAACCACTGACTCTAGGCGTTCCTTTGAAAATTCTATTCGCACGAAGGGGGTTGTTAGAAACTGAGTCTCAGGGGTGGAGGTAGTGCAGCGGGTAGGGCATTTGCCTTGCATGTATGTGGCCAATCCGGGTTCAATTCCCAGCACCCCAGATGGTTCCCGAGAACTGCCAGGAATGATCCCAGAACTCTGCCAGGTATGGTCCCCCCCCCAAAAAAAAACCAGGAAAAAAAATCAAGTTATCGGTGACTTTCTTTCTTCTACAGGAAAACCATCAACTGGAGTACTTCCAGAGACCCAGCAGTTATAAACAACTCAGCCCCACACATAGCTACACCAAATAAAAATATTATTTTCCACTTATGTTTACATGGTGTCCACAGTCATCTTTATTTATATACTAATGCTTAGGCAAGAGCAGGGCAAAATCCCCACTGTGATGACTCACTTTGACAGGAAACTTTCGAAATAGTTTAAGATTTTTTTTTTTAAATTGTCACTTTGTTGCTCTTCAAAAAAAAAAACTGAGGTGGTGAAGAAATACTTCTCATTTAGCTGGTATTAACAGTATTCCAGTAATGAGTCAGATTCTCTGACTCACGGTCCCCAAACAGTGGGGCAGCCTCAGACACCAAGCGGACTATTTCCAAGACAGCAAGCACCAGCGTTAGATGTGATCAAGAAATACTCTGGCATGGCCCTCCATAAGAGGGAGAATCTGACTGTAGTTCTAACAGGAGCGAGACACCAACTACAGCTGCACCAAGGTAACCTTGACTCTGCGAAACGGGCAAAAGAAATATGTTGTCATTAATTGCATTCATACATGCAGACATGAACCTCCCAGTCAAGAGGAAGTTTCTGAAGTTTTCTATCTAGTGCCCAAAACAGTCAATGATCAAGCTAGCGTGGATACATGCATGTAAGGATGGATGGATATGGATGGATGGATGGATGGATGAACTGATACCTGCATGGATGGATGGATGGATGGATGGATGAATAGATACCTGCATGGATGGATGGATGGATGGATGGATGGAAGGATGGATGGATGGATGGATGGATGGATGGATAGATACCTGCATGGATGGATGGATGGATGGATGGATGGATGAATAGATACCTGCATGGATGGATGGATGGATGGATGAATAGATACCTGCATGGATGGATGGATGGATGGATGGATGGATGGATGGATGAATAGATACCTGCATGGATGGATGGATGGCTGGATGGATGGATGAATAGATACCTGCATGGATGGATGGATGGATGGATGAATAGATACCTGCATGGATGGATGGATGGCTGGATGGATGGATGAATGGATACCTGCATGGATGGATGGATGGATGGATGGATGGATGGATGGATGAATAGATACCTGCATGGATGGATGGATGGATGAATGGATGGCTGGATGGATGGATGAATGGATACCTGCATGGATGGATGGATGGATGGATACATGCATAGATGGATAAATGGTCCCAGCATGACCAGACACCAGTGCTAACAGTGCTCAGCCTCAGAGCCGGCGGGGGTTCTGCTCCTTCAGCCGGACCTGGCCTCTCGTGGCCAACTGCCCCCAAGGAGCAAAGCCTTCAGGACCCCAGTCTCACCAACTTGACCAAACACTGGCTCCTCTTCCACTCCATTCCTCTCTCTTTCCTCCTGCCCACCTGCTCCCCTTTTTCTGACTTTCTTTTTCAGTTCTAGAGCTTTTCTGCTGCTGTTTTTGGGCCTCACTGGGCAGTGCTCAGAGCTACTCTCAGCTCATCACTGTTGGCTGGGTGGGTGGGGGTATTCCCTGGGGTCCTGGGAGGGGTAGGGGGAAGATCACAAAGTTATGAGGTCAAAGTGAGGCCTAGGTGTGAAGAGCGTGTTGGAGCCTCTCAAACCCTCTCCCCAGCCCCTAATTTGTTTTCTTTCAGGCTCTACCTCCCCATGGTGGTTGTTCTTTTGATTTCGACACATCAGTACTGTGATGTCTCTTCTTCTTGGAGGACTGTGTGGACTGCAGTATTACAGCCTTAGTGCCACACATACTCCGTGACAAGTCATTGATGTCCCTTTATTTTTGTTTTTCGCCACATCCTGCCATGCTCAGGGCTTACTCTTGGCTCTAAACTCAGCAATCAATCCCAGCGGTGCTCAGGAGAAGCATATGAGAAGTCAGAGATGGAACCATATGAGAAGTCAGAGATGGAACCTGGGTCAGCCGTGTGCAAGGCAAGTGCCCTCCAACTCCCCGTTTTAAGAAAATATAGCTTGATGTTCCCTTAGTTGTGAAGGAAATAGTAATTTGGAGATGAGACTTAAAGTTCTATCTCAAGTTGTATATACAAATCACAAAAATCACAAATTATCCCGTTATTCGTCGATTGCCTCGAGCAGGCCCCAGTAACGTCTCCTTCATCCTAGCCCTGAGATTATATTCAAGGCTCTTTAGGACAATGAGACCCATCATTGTTACTGGTATTTGGCATATTGGGTACGCCACGGGGAGTTTGCCAGACTCTGCCGTTTTGGCAGGCTACATTCGGTAGCCTGCCAGTTTGTCCAAAGTAGGAGTGAGATAATAAGATGTCATACTAAGTTGTATACAGTGAATTTAAAAAAAAATTTTTTTTGCAGTACCAGAGGGAGAAAGTGGAAGCATAGAACTGAAATTTTAATTGTTTCAGACCTAAGAATATGAAGCCACGGAGCACGGGATGTGGGATCTGTGTGGAAAAAGTCTGTCTCAGTCAAACCCGATGACCAATTGTGGGAATGCAAGTAAAAGGGAAAAAGTGAAAGCAAAAAGGAAGAAGGAACTTCACAGGCCGCCCGTGAAGTGTTTCAAACTCGTCTCTAACTTGGAGCTGTCGTCACCCTAATGCTGTTAGTATAGGCCATCAATGCATGGAAATGGCACTCAGTGGGAAAAATTTTGATTTACGGCAGACCTGGCTTCTGTGATAACTGAGCACATGCCTTCAGAAAGGACCCCCAACTCCAGGAACCCAGAGTCCCCGCTTTTAGAACCGGGGGACCCCTTTCCTCTCCCCAGCTCTGATGCTTTGATTCTGGCCAGCCTGCTCATAACTGCACAGCGTGAAAAATCACTCACGAGTTCCGGGTCTGGAGGACGGAGCCTCCACAGAAGACTCCCTAGGGGTCATCAACCTCACTTCTGAGGGGTCCCAGCAAGTACTCGGGGGGCTCAGGCAAAACTCAGACAATCAGGACGAGAGGTCAGTGCTGAGACCTGGCCAAGCAGGGAGCTTCAGGGCTCACCATGTGGGGGTAGAACTGTGTCCCAGGACATGCAGAATCTGAGTTCTGAGCAGTCAATGCCCCACCCACCCACCCAATAGTGGTGACACCAACAGACACTTTAGAAACGTCCACATCCCCAAAGTCAGACCAAGCTCAGTTGATGCCAGAGCTGCACGGAACAATAGAGCTTGAGCCTTAGGGGCCAGAGAGATAGCAGCGTGGGTAGAGCACTTGCCTTGCACACAGATGAGTCAGGTTCTATCCCTGGCCCCACACAAGATTCCCGGAGCACAGAGCCGGGAGCCAAAAATCCAAACAATAATGATAATTATTAAACTGATAGGCCGAGAAGCAATAGCACAATGGTAGGGCATTTGCCTTGCTTGTGGCCAGCCCGGCTGACCCAGGTTCAATTCCTCTGTCCCTCTTGGAGAGCCCAGCAAACTACCGAGAGTATCTCTCCCTCACGGCAAAGCCTGGCAAGCTCCCCGTGACGTATTCAATATGCCAAACACAGTAACAACAAGTCTCACAATGGAGACGTTACTGGGCCCGCTCGAGCAAATCCATGAACAATGGGAGGACAATGCGACAGTGCAAATGATAATCATGCAGAAGACAAAAGTTCTTCCATAACCAATCCCCTGGGGAATTCTCACCAGTGTGGCCAGGCCATGGGATCAGGCGGGAGTCCAGGAGGTGAGATTAAACTGAACAAAGAAAAAAAATGCTCCCGGCAAGTTGTGTGGACGTACAGGGGGCTGGGGTCGGGGCTGGGGGCAAGGGCTGTGGCCGGCACCGGTGAATTTCCCCTGGGTTCAACCCCCAGCACTACAACCCACCCAAACGCTTTTTTAAAAAGTAAAGGAAACATATACACAAGAATGCGCGCACGTACGAATTCACAGCAGCAGGCCAGGGACACACCTGCAGCCCGAGTCCACGAGGACCAGGCCCAGGTCGGGAAACTGCAGGCCAGACAGACCCCAGGGGACAGGATGTGGCGTCAGCAGAGAGACAGGACAGCCTTGGGGGAGGGCGCTGGCCTTGCACGCAGCTGACCCTGGTGTGACCCCCAGCACCTCTGGGTCTGCAGAGCCTCCCGGTGAGGCCCGGGTGACCCCCATCCCCACACAGGGGAGCACCCTCAGATCCTCCCACTGAAGCCCCCTCCCCACCCTGCCCAGACCCCTGTCTCCCGTCTCCACCAGGCTCCTGAGCGCTGCCAACAAGACCCCCTGCCTCCCCCACAGCAAGTTCTGTCTTTTGTTTTTAAAAAATGATGAGCTCAAGCTCTTCGGGACAAAATGTGGAACTCGGGGTGACGGTGATGCTAAGGGAGACAAACAGGAAGCGAGAGGCCACGGCCAGATGGTTTAACTCACGCAGAACAGGATAAAGCCCGCTGGCGACGCAGCAATGCCGACTCCCAGGCCGGTGAGCAGAGGGGAAGCGGGGGGTGGGGGGGCAGAAAGGGGACACGAAGGGGTCCGGGGGGCTGGGGGGCTCTGGGAGCCTGGGGAGAGGGGGAGATTCAAGCGCACAGACAGACGTGGTTCTAGTGCCTAAAATCCCAGAAAATCAGGCCAGTGAGACAGTGCAGAGGGCCCGGGCAAGCTGCACGCGGTCCATCCCAGTGCAGTGCCCACACAGGGTGCCTTAAGCTCTGCCAGGAGTCAGCCCTGAGCACGGAGCAGGGAGTGAGCACCGAGCACGGAGCCGGGAGTGAGCCCTGGGCACAGAGGAGTGATCCCTGATTACAGAGCCAGGAGCGAGTCCTGAGCAGAGCCAGGAGTGAACCCTGAACACAGAGCCAGGAGTAAGCCCTGAGCACAGTCAAGACTGAGCCCTGAGCACGGACCCAGGAGTGATCCCTGAACACAGAGCCAGGAGTGAGCCCTGAGCACAGAGTCAAAAGTGAGTCCTGAGCACAGAGCCAGGAGTGATCCCTGAGCACCCTCAAGGATAATCCAAAACCATAATGAAATTTCCTAATATTGTCCACCAATAAGACAAGGAGAGAAACGAATAAGGGAAGACAGTCAAAACCTCCTTGCTGTACATCCGATTTTTGGTTTGGGGTCCACACCCGGCTGTGCTCGGGGCTTACTCTCAGCTCCGGGGATCAGGGCTCACTCCTGGCCATGTCCGGGGTGGGAAGGGACCTTGTGGGGTGCCCGGGATTGAACCGGCCCCACCTTGCCAAACTTTTCATGATGCCGCACAACTTCTTTATGATGTGTGATGTTTAGAATTAAATTTGGAAAACTTTTGGCCAATTTTAAAATAAGAATGAGAATGTTTCAAAGGGAAAACATACCCCCCCCCCCCGGGTCTTCTGTTCAGTGCTTCCCCTCCGGGCACTCGTGGGGGGCGTGGGGGTGCCAAGAGACCCCCGCGGGCTCACCTGCAGTTTCCTCTTCTTCCTCGAGAGGCTTCCGGTCCAGTCACTGATGCGCCGCATGCGGGCCTTCAGGGAGCTCTTGGCCGCGTCCTCGGTCAGGGCTTTGGACTTGCGGCAGGGGAGGGTGAAGGAGGCGTAGGGGGCGTCCCCGCGCCCCACGCGCGAGGGCACGTCCATGTCGGACGCGAAGGACACGCGGTTGCTGAGGCCGGGCTGCGGGCCGATGTCGTCGGCTGAGAGCCGGGGGCCTAGGGGGGCCTGGGGGTAGAGGTCCCGGAGCGAGGACAGGGAGGAGCTTTGGTTGAAAGGTTTTGGGGGGTCACGGCTGGGGAAGTGTCCGGGCAGGCCGGGGGGCAGGCCGGGGTGGTGGTGGCCAACGTCGGGCGGGCCAGGAGCGGGCGAGGAGCCCTCGGGCTCGCTGACCTCACCACCACCGGGGCCCCAGGGTGAGTCGTACCAGGAGGACTCGGAGCTCAGCGAGCTGCTGCCCTTGCTGGAGCGTGGCCGGGCAGCGGGGCCACGGGGGCTGGGCGGCGAGTGGGCACCAGGGGTCAGCACCACCGGCGAGTAGCGTAGCAGCTGCACTGGCCCGTCGGCACCGCCGGGCGGGTCCTGGCCGCCCCCGCTGTGGAACTCCACCCGGAGGCAGCCGTCCACCTTGCCCAGGGTCTTGATGAGAACGCGGGGGCTTCCGCGGTCCTCCTCGTCGGGGGGCGTGGAGGCCAGGCTCTCGGGGCGCCCGGTGCAGGGGTGCAGGGCACCGTTGAAGTCTCGCAAGGCCGCGGGGTGGGCTGGCGGCTCATGGAAGCCGTTCTCGGGGGACAGAGGCACAGGGAGGCCCTGGAAGTTGCCTCCCGGGACGCTGGTCCTGTGCTTGGCGTGGGCACAGCCCTTGGCCGCCGTGTAGGGCTGATTGGTCTTGAAGTGTGACAGGCAGCTGCGGGCCAGGGCCCGGGACTTGTAGCCCGCCCCGTGGCCCCATCCGTGCGGGGGCTTCTCGTCTTTGGCGTGAAGGCTGCGGATCTTGAGCGAGCAAGGCTTCTGCTTAGCACTGGCAAGAGCACTGCTGTGAGCTTTGGAGCCCTGGAGGGTGTACTGACTCTCCGAGTTCCCCATCTTCACCTAGACGGAAAACAGCCACATGAGTGAGAGTCACGGAAGGGCCACATGAGAGCCCCCAACTGATCCACATGCGAGCCACGTAAGAGCCACGTGAGTAAGTCACGTGAGTGAAAGCCTGAGGGTCACGGGAGTGAGAGCCACACGAGTGGGTCACATGAGAGCCACGTGAGAATCACGTGAGAGAGTCACATGAGAACCACATGACAGCCATGTGAGTGAGCCACTTAAGAACCACATGAGTATGTGCCTCAGCGCAACCCCCAATCCATTATGACAGGACTCTTTTTTTTTTTTCTTTTCTTTTCTCTATTTTGGGCCACTCTTGGCTTACTCTTGGCTCTGCACTCAGGGATCACACTTGGTGTGGCTCAGGAGACAGTGTGGGGTTCTGGGGCTCAAACCCAGGCCAGCCACATGCCAGGTAAGCACCCCATGCGCTGTACTGTCTAACCCATGACAGAACTTTGTCTAAAAAAAAAGTTTGCGGGGCTGGAGAGATAGCACAGAGGGTAGGGCGTTTGCCTTGGACGCTACCAACCTGGGTTCGATCCCTGGCATCCCATATGGTCCCCCAAGCACCGCCAGGAGTATTTCCTGAGTGTAGAACCACGACTAACCCCTGAGCACCGTTGGGTGTGACCCAAAAAGCAATAAATAGATAAATAAATAAATTTAAAAAAAAAAGTTTTCGGGGCTGGAGAGATAGTACAGTGGGTAGGGCGTTTGCCTTGCACGCGGCCGACCCAGGTTCAATTCCCAGCATCTCATATGGTCCCCTAAGCGCCGCCAGGAGTAACTCCTGAGTGCAGAGCCAGGAGTAACCCCTGTGCATCGCCAGGTGTGACCCAAACAGCGAAAAAAAAAAAAAAGTTTGGGAGCAAAGCACTAGTCAGCAGGGAGGGTGTTTGCCTTACGCAGAGTGTGTCTGGGTTCGATCCCCGGCATCCCCTCTGGTCCCCTGAGCACCACCTGGGAATGATCCGGATGCAGAGCCAGGAGGAAGCCCTGAGCATTGCTGAGTGCAGCCCACAGAACAAAAAAGCAAACAAAAATGTTTGACCCGTGACCGGGACAGCAAGAGAAGCCACCCAGGCCTGGCAGGGCTCCGAGAAGCGGGACAGCAGTGCTGACCGGGTCAGTTCCCTGGCCGGAGTAAGCAAGTTCCCTGACCACACCGGGAAACACCGGCACACCCTCCGGCTCCAGCTGCAAACATGGAACGTGCTGCGTGGGCGCTTCCCACACCCCACACGCTGCTGCTCCCTTCAGACACGGAGCAGGCACAAGGGTACCCGGAAGCAGAGACCGGCGTCTGCTGAAGGACTGGCCTCCTCACTCCAATCACTCCCTCACGCTGGTCTGAGCCAATGACTCTTTATAACTATCTCGGGGTCCCTCCTGCCAATACTCAGCCAGTGATAAACATCACCCATGCGTGGGGGACCCCTTGGCGGAGCGGGTCGGGGGGAGGCGGGCACGCCGAGGCAGGGAGTGAACTCAGAGCCTCGCCCACAGGGGCATGAGCTGGGGCCATAGCCCCGCCCCGGACTCGATGATTCCTAGAGAAGGGAAAGGTGGGAGCACCGTTGTCCCCGTCCCAGCAGCTGCCCTGCCAGGGGGCCACTTCCGCATCAGGGGTAGCACCAACAGCACACAGTGAACTAAGCAACGGCTGGCCCTCCAGAACACCCACCCTGGGAAGGGCGCAGCACAAGCACCCCACGGCCAGAGTTGCTGGGGGGTCCCAGAGCAGGCACACCCCCAAAGGAAAGGACCGGGTTGAGTGAGGGGGTCAGAGAGACAGCGCAGGCAGGGTTAAGGCATGGGCCTTGCAACACAAGCAGCCTGGCTAGATCTTGAGCACCCTGAACAGTGGCCGAGCACCACCGGAAGAGATCCCTGAGCACAGAGCCTGAGTACCACTGGCTGTGCACAAAACCCCAACAACATCAACAATGCGGGCTGAGGGGGTCAGAGAGGCGGCACAGGCAGGGTTAAGGTGCGGGCCTTGCAACACGAGCAGCCTAGCTGGATCTTGAGCGGTGGCCGAGCATCACCAGGAGAGATCCCCGAGCACAGAGCCAGGAGTCCCTGAGTACCACTGGCTGTACACAAAACTCCAACAACATCAACAACGATGCACGAAAGAACTGGCAGAGGAACCCAGGCATGCGGGTCCCGGGGCTGAGGTCTCCAAGCCTGCTCGGATTGGGACTGGGCCTTCTCCAACCAGACCCCCCATCTTCCAGTAGATAGGCGTCACACCCACCAGCTGCCACCAGCACCAGGTTGGTCCCATCAATGGCCAAGATGCAGAGACTATAAAACCCAGCTCCCATCTTTTTTTTTTTTTTTTTTTTTTTTTTGCTTTTTGGGTCATACCTGGCGATGCTCAGGGGTTACTCCTGGCTCATGCACTCAGGAACTGCTCCTGGCGGTGCACAGGGGAACATATGGGGTGCTGGGAATTGAACCTGTGTCGGCCATGTTGGCTGCGTGCAAGGCAAACGCCCTACCCGCTGTGCTATCGCTCCAGCCCCCCAGCTCCCATCTTATTATCTTATTTTTCCTTTGGAGAACCTGGCAGGCACCAAAAGTATCCTGCCCGCACGGCAGAGTCTGGCAAACTTCCCGTGTCGTACTCAATATGCCAAATACCAGTAACAACGATGGGTCTCATTCTCCTAATCCTGAAAGAGCATTGAAATGGCTCTTTTAAAGTCTCAGGGCTAGGAAGAAGGAGACGTTACTGGTGCCTGCTCGAGGCAATCGACGGGCAACAGGATGATCGTGATCAACAAGAGTGGAAGGTGAAAAAAACAGGAGAGGGGAGAGCATGAGGGAGAAAACCGGTCATGTTGGGGGGTAACGGGGGAACCTTTAGTTAGACAGAAAACAGTCGAAACCAACTCATTGGTTTGTCTATGGATATTCCGGCTCGTCCCTGTAGGACGTAATAGACAGCAAACATGAATGGCTTGTTAGAATGTGGGCGTCTGGGGCCAGAGTAAAAGGTATAGCAGGAAGGCGTTTGCCTTGCAGGGGGTCGACAGGGGTTTGTAAGAGCAAATCTGACGCCGTAACAGGCGGCAGAAATCAGCAAAATCAGCCTAGGCCTCGGGCTGGGAACTAAAACAGTTTCAGTTTCCCAGCAATGAGACGAGCTGGCCAAACCTGAACCCACCTGGGAAAATTCCTGGGCTTAGCAAGTGGCTCAATCCATCAGTTCTCACAATGCCCCAGAACTTGCCTTTTGTTAACCCTAAAAGAATGAGCAGCATATGGAACCATAAACTGCTAGTGGAAACTATTGTTTAACTATTGCCTGACCGAGGGCTGGAGAGTTAGCACAGAGGGTAGGGCATTTGCCTTGCACGCGGCCGACCCGGGTTCAATTCCCAGCATCCCATAGGGTCCCCCGAGCACCGCCAGAAGTAATTCCTGAGTGCATGAGCCAGGAGTAGTCCCTGTGCATCGCCGGGTGTGGCCCAAAAAGAAAAAAAAAAAACTATTGCCTGACCACTGTGACCCTAGACACTTGCCAAAACACCTTTGTTTGGCGACTAAGTAAGATTTCTTTCTGAAACAAGAAGGCATGCACTACTTATGTAATCAAACCCTATATAAACTGCTTGCTGCCTGAACTCAGGGTTGCTAACAAGAGACCACTCTGTGTTTGATATAGCTGACGCCAGCTAGCTGGAATAAAACTCCTATTGCTTTTGCATTTTCGTGTTTGTATCTCTGTGCATCTCACCACTTGGGAACCCACAGTCCCGGGCTGAACAGGTTCAATCCCCAGCACCCTATATAGTTCCCTGAGCACTGCTACGAGTGATTCCTGAGTGCAGAGCCAGGAGTAACCCCTGAGCATCCCTGGGTGTGATCCCACCCCAAAGCAAAACAAAACAAAACAAAAAAAAATGTAGGCATCTGAAATAATTGTTCAGATTCTTTTACTTCCTCTAAAACCCCAAAGTGCTCAAGCGTCAGTAGTGAAGCCTGACTCGGTGACTTGGGGGTCCCAGCTGACCTGTTCTAGTTGGAACATTGCATGGGAGGTCGGGGCGGGGCTGTGTCCTCTGAGGTTTCCAAGTTCACTTTGCCGTGTTCATTTTAGCCACCTCATACCTCTGGGCAGTCACCAACAAGTCAATGGGTTGACTTTTCTTTGGAGGCAGTTACCAAAACACATTAGAAATTTTAAAAAAATACAACTAGGGGACCGAAGAAATAGTACAGGGGTTAAAATGCACGTCTCGGATGTGGTCAGCCCTGCTTCCTTCCTGGGACCACATGGTCCCCCCAGCACTGCTGGGTGTGGCCCTGGAAAGTGCTGGCTAGGCAGGGCCTGACACCATAGCCACAGGCCTCACACTAGGCCCCCAGCCGAGCTGGTCAGGAGTCATCAGGAGGGTCCCAGGTCTCCTGACTGCTCTTGGGGAGCCCCCGAAATAAACTTTAAGGTTTTTTATTAAAAAGGAAAACAACTTGGGCTGAACAGTCCAGTGGGTAGGGCACTTGCCTTGCATGTGGCTGATCTGGTTCAATTCCTGACTCCGAGAGCTCTGCCAGCAGGACCCCTGAGCACCACCAAGTGTTGCCCCCAAACTAAATAATAATAAAAAGTAATAATAGAACAAAGTCATTTGTTTATTTGGTTTGGGGGCTACACACGGCAGTGTCCAGGGCTTACTCTTGGCTCTGTGCTCAGGGATCACTACTCGGAGGACTCTGGGGACCATATGGGGTACCAGGGATGGAACCCAGGTCAGCCACTTGTAAAGCAAACGTCTTACCCCTGTGTTCTCTCAGGCCCTGAACAAAGTTATTAAACCTACACCCACGATCTGAATCACAGACACACACACACACACACACACACACACACACACACACACACACACACAAGCATGGCGTTACCTGCAGTCACTCGGCTCCGGCTCTGTGTTCCAGGAGAGGTGGCGGCCGTCAGCGTTCCCAGGCCCAGGAGTGAGGTG